TTTTTCCTATAAATTCCGAAGTCATTCTTACACAATTTCTCACATAATTTTCACCATTTCATACTATCTTATCTCATTTTATTTCAATTTTTCACATTCTATTCTCTAACCTCTTCCAATAATCAATCCTTTAATTTTTTTCAATAATTTTCAAATGTCTACATCTGTAATGAAAAGAAGGGCTTGGACCTGAAAAGAAGATGAAGCTCTTTGAAGGGCTTATAAATGGGTCTCAGAAAATAGTGTCAATGGTAGTTTTCAAACAAGTGAAAGTGTTTGGAGATGTGTGAATTCTACCTCAATATCTAGCCAATTTATTAACATTGGAAGCTGAAGATAAGAAGTGTCGCATAAATAAGAATCATATCTAAAATTTGCACAACCAATTATATATCGACACGTGACACTCGAAATCTTATTCGAAAAATTATTAAGATTACATAAAGATAATAAATCTAGAGAGTTACTCACTTTGAAATCATATTCGAAAAATTATTGAGATTGCACAAAGATAAGAAATCTGGAGAGTTATTCACGTTAGCAACACATGTCACTCGAAATCTTATCCAAAAAATTACTAATATTATATAAAGATAAGAAATCCAGAGACTTATTCATTTGGCGACAAATGACATTCAAAATATGTTCGAAAACCTTATTTTAATATGGTAGTTTAATTTAAGTATCCATATTAATTCAATTAAAATAATAAATTATGTTTTACCTTGACTCTTTGGCCTTTTCAGTTTGAGATGATTTTTTATCAAATGACTATATTTAGCCTATAACCTCCTCGGTTGAAAATGATATAAAATATAATCTAATATTGTTCATTAAAATATAATTTATTGCAAATCTATGGGACGAAAGGAAACCTTTTGGTCGATGGCCTAACCATTCGGTCCTGTCAACCGAACGCAGTTTTTACATTTGACAGCTGAAAAAACATACTGCGGAAAGCTGCGATATTACACCCAGCTGCCCTCGGCGGATCCCAACCGCATCTCAATCAGCCGGGCATTGAACTCGCCATCACTGACCTTCAGCATCTCCCGCAGCGGCAGTGAAAAGCCGTGCTCCACCAGCAACCGGTGCCTAGGCTTAATCTTCCCCTCCAAACTAAACGAAAAGTACTGCGGAAACCTCTTCAGTTCCGCCACGTCCCTCTTCATCTCCTCCAGAAAAAAGTCAACTTTCGGCTTATAATTGTTGTTTATGCTGAAAGTCAACAGCCCCGGCGACCTTATCACCATGTTCACCACCTCCTCGTAGCTCAGCCCCAAGCTCTGCAAATACTCGATTTTGGGCAAAAGGGTAAATTCCACGCTCGAAACCAGCAGCACTGTCGTCTGGCACGTGATGGAGCTCCGACCCGAAAACCCCAATTGGGTCAGGAACTTCAATGCGGGTCGCAATTGACTGTCCAAGTCGGAGACTAGAAGCCTCGGGCACCTGATTATCGACTTCCGGATATCCGGGAAAGGGATTCGGACCTCGGTGAGGAGGAAATCGAAGATTGGGTAGAGGGCGGAGTGCGGGTCCGCGGTGAGGAGCTGCGGGTACATGTCGAGGATCCGGCCCTGGGCAGAGCGCTCGATGCCCATGGAGGAGAGGCAGCCCTCGACGGACTTGAGGGAGGAGAGAGGGCAGGAGCGGAAATCTGGGTTTTGGTGGAGGGCTTTTTCGGAGTCGACGTTGAGGTGGGTTTCTAAGTAGAGGACCTTTTCGCGGAAGAGGAGGCCGGGGTCGGCGGAGGTGTTTGGGTGGTCGGAAAGTGAGGGGTAATTTGGAGAACTGAGGGTTGGCCTGAGGGAGTTGGAGACTGATTTGGGGATAGGGTAAGGGTTTTTGAAGGGTTTTAGAGATGGAAAGAGGGAAGCTTGGGGTAGGAAGGTTTGAGGTTGGAGATGGCGAATCATGGTGGCCGACGGGGGCTGTGTGTAGGAAAAGTGAAGGTGGTGGACAGCCCTTTATCCCATTAGCCGGCCCAGTCCGGTTCAATGTTTTCACTTCCTCTAAGAATATGCATATGATTGGTTGTACAAGAAGGTAGTGACAAATTGACAAATCATTTCTCAAAAGCCACATTAATATGATTATCACGCCAAAAATGTCCAAGAATTCTACATTTATTTGTTAACATAATAATATTTTAAATTACTTTGGTTTACGTAAAGGAAATTCAAACTCGGTTATATAGTGCATTTTCTTGACTAACCGGCTTAGTTCATATACATTCTAAAGGTCTCTGTATTTTGTGTTATATTCTACGGAACTTATTCATTATCTTGATTAATCATCATCTACCTTCATTTTAACAATTTTGTTATAGAAATTTATCTTATTTGCGCACGAATTTATCTTCAAACTCTGAAACTGCTCACTTAATCATAATTCTTTTTTATTTGAATAATACTTGCATCCTGGTGAAAGAATTAACATATACCACCCTTACATGTAAACACAACGTCTCAAGGAATCGTCCATTAAATAAAAGGAAAACTAATGAAAATGGCTTGAAAACTTTGAGTTTTAATGATAATGACGAAATAAAGGGTAAAATGAATAGTACCAGGTTTGACTTTTTAGTGTCAGGCCATCTCCAACCGATGGCTGGCCAGATGTCTCGTTTTAGCTATCTGGCCTTCCAAGATTCTCCAAGATATTAATATTTTAATGAACAGTACATGGCCATATTTGCCTCCGTCTCCAACCGAGAGCTCGTTTTAGCCCTGTTACAAAAAACCGTCTCCAACCGAGGACCAAAGGGCCATAAGGCCAAACATAATTTATTATTTTAAAACTATAACTTTAATGTTGTATAATGGCTTAGGAAGTTATAGGAAAAAAAAATAGAATTTTAAAAAAATATGAAACAAATTTTGTGAAATAGAAGTTATAGGAAAAAAATGAAAACAAATTTTGTGAAATAGAAGTTATAGGAAAAAAAATGAAATTTAAAAAAAATGAAAACAAATTTTGTGAAATAGAAGTTATAGGAAAAAAAATGGAATTTAAAAAAAATATGAAATAAATTTTGTGAAATAGAAGTTATAGGAAAAAAATGGAATATGAAACAAATTTTGTGAAATAGAAGTTATAAGAAAAAAATGGAATTTAAAAAAAATATGAACCAAATTTTGTAAAATATAAGTTATAGAAAAAAAAGTTATAGAAAAAAAAAAGGTTTAAATTCATAAAAACAAAAAATAAAATTTGAATACAACGACTAGTGATTGGCTAGCCGTTGGAATTCAAATTAGAATTCAAATTAGTGTCGGTTTTAACCGACACTGTTCAAACTGATATTACACTAACATCGCTATTAGTGTCGGTTATAACCGACACTAATAATATAGTATATATTATTTCTGTTGGCTATAACCGACAGAAATAACAAAGCATTAAAAAAAAATGGCCAGCCCCGGGTTGGCTGGCTGGCTGCATGCAGCCAGCCCTTTCCGATTCCATGGGGCCCTCCTTGATTCCAGAGCCCTCTGACCTAGCCTTCGGTTAGAGAGGGTTTTCGAGCTATTTTCGACCCTCTGGCCCTCTGGACTATTCGGTTGGAGATTGCCTAAAAATGTGATTTTTACACTAAAGTGAACGGTACCGTGAGTTTTTCTTTAAAACTCCATTAAATAAAACCGGTCAAATGTTCAAAATTGCCTTGTTCCAAAATATACAAATTAACATACACTTGTGGATGTGGACTCTCCAAGGTGCCTTTTTTTGGGTCCCAAACAAATGGTACATAAAGTTCATAAAGCAAAAGTTCTTTTTTATTATTTTTTTAATGAAACTATAGATGATGTATTCATAACCAAAACCATTACAAGGCTAATCATGGCCAGGGACATCCTCAATGGGGGCGTCCATGATTAAACTCGGTAGGGAATCATCCCAAGTACAATCATGATTAAGCGTAAGACCAAAACGAGCAAGTCTATGAACTTCAGTGATTGTCCTCAATTATCTAACTAAGAGAGAAAAGATTGGTTGAGGAGTCCTAAAGCGCTTCCACAATCTGAAGTGAATTAGATTAAAAAATGATACGATGAAAATCCCTCGATATTGCCCACAGGACTGCTGCACGAAATGCCAAAGCCTCAGCTTGCTGGGGAGAGAAAGTATCCATAAAATGGCTAGCCATGGCTGTCACAAAAGAACCAGAATCATCTCGAATAATTAGCCCAAACCCAACCCAACTAGCATGCCTTTGCCTTCCTCTGCCTCCTTGTCTGGGCAACGATAGCATGCAACAATTAACAATCCTCCAACTTCTATGCGCCTTTTTAGGCACTCGAGTGAGATCTCCAAAGTCGAATCCTACTGTAATCGTATCTCAAGTCAATAAGACATAATACTATGTGATTTATTTAAATAACATTAACCTCTAGTAAGTAAGTTTCTCTTCTCTAATAAAAGCGGAGAGAGGCATATTAAGGAGTGTGTGAGAAATGAAACCTACCACCAAGAAAAGTATATCCAGACTCATATCTGTGATGATATCTCAATCAATTACATACAACTCTACGTTATTAACTTAAAACATCACAGTAAATAAGTTTCTCTCCACAACCACACACCACACAATGTGGTGGCAGCGCAAGAAGAGGGAGGCCTGGAGGCATATTGGCTTCTTGATGGTTAAAATTTAAGGAAAACTAATGAAAAATGGTTTGAAAATTTTGAGTTTTAACGATAAAGATAAAATAAAAAGTAAAGTGAATAGTACTAAGTTTGACTTTTTAGTATAAAAATATGATTTTTCGTTAAAATAAACAGTAACACAAACTTTTCGTTAAAACCCTTTTTTTTAATGAATATTTCATTCACACACAGAGTAATAGTATCATATACAAAAAAACAGTAGAATTTACGCTGATTTGATATACCGTCATAGTAACAGTTAAAGATTACAGTAGCAGGGCCAGTTTGGTCATATCAAACACCTATCAAATGGCACCACCAAGAGAGGGAAAAACCACGTGATGCCGTTACTGCAGTTACCACCAGCGGAATGTGATGCGGTTCACGAGAATCAACGAACAACAAAACCCAGAACACCAACAATTAAAGAACCCAAAATTTTCTTTTAATTTACAGATTTGGTGTCATATTTTCCACCGTTTCTTTCACCTTCCAATCCTTTTGCATTTCTACCTGTATCTGTCTCTCTCAGTGAAAAATCAGCCCCATTTATGTCGATGTCAGTTTCCACCCCCACAGAAAACCAGAAGTAAATGCCTCGACGTCGACGCTGTCCTGTACGGCCTTTTCCAACCAACCACCCATTATATCCCACACTCACATTCGTTCACTGACCACTAACATCACTGTGGGAGCTGCTCTCTAATGGTGTTTTTTGGTTCTTTCAACTCTCAAGGTTTGTCTCCTCTTCCTCCTACCCTATCTGCATTTTATTTCTCTCTCCTTTTTTTTTTCTTCTGGGTTGTGCTTTTTTTCTCTGTTTTTTCCAGAAAATTTCTTAAAGGTGCTTCCTTTGAATGATTAACCCTTGTTTTTCGCATGGGTTTTTAACTTTTTAACCAGCTTGTTCAAGCGTCCAACATTATCCAGGAAAAAAGGAAACTTACTCAGTAAAACTTTCATGGAGGAATCACAGGATTTTGGGCACCGAGGAACTTTCATGAAACCTTGAGATTATCAGAAAGCTTAGAAGTTTTAGTTGAGCTGTAAGAATTTTTACTGCAATGAGATATTTTTACTTCTTGGTTTCAGTAATTGTGGCATGGGTTTTGTTCCTTCCAAGAACCCATGAATTGCAAGCTTCTCAAAGGCAAGTGTTGTTTCAGCTGAGAAAGCATTTAGAGTACCCTCCCTCATTAGAAATTTGGGCAAATTACAGTGGAGACCTCTGCAACCTGTCTTCCACTGCTCATGTGAGCATATCATGCCAGGGCAATTCAGTCACTGAGCTCAAAATTATGGGAGATTATAAGCTTGTTAATGTGAATGGTTTCAATGGATTTGCAATTCCCAACAAGACATTGTCTGAGAATTTTAAGGTTGATTCTTTTTTCACCACTTTGTCAAGGTTGCCTAGCTTGAAAGTTCTTAGCTTAGTGTTTTTGGGGATTTGGGGACCACTTCCTGATAAGATTCATCGGTTATCTTCGCTTGAAGTCTTAGACTTGAGCTCGAATTTCATGTTTGGTTCTGTTCCGGCGAAGATATCTAGAATGGTGAAGCTTCAAACTCTAACTCTGGAGGGCAATTATTTCAACGAAACTGTGCCTGATTGGTTGGACTCGTTGTCGAATCTCACAGTTTTGAGCTTAAAGAACAATCGGTTGAAGGGCGAGTTTCCTTCTGCGATATGCAGAATCAAGACACTCACTGTCATTTCTTTGTCTCACAATGAGCTTTCTGGAAAGCTACCTGATATGGCTACTTTAAGCGGCCTGCATGTCTTGGACTTGAGAGAAAATCATTTACATTCCGAACTACCAAGGATGCCGAAAGGGTTGGTTACAGCTCTTCTTAGCAAGAACACATTCTCTGGAGAGATTCCTGCACAATTTGGTGTTTTGGGTCAGCTTCAGCACCTTGATCTCTCATTCAATTATCTTAGCGGAGCACCGCCCTCTGCTTTGTTCTCTTTGCCAAACATCAGTTATCTGAATTTAGCATCCAATATGCTGAGTGGAGCATTTCCGGACAAGCTAAAGTGTGGTGGAGAACTTGGGTTTGTTGATATTTCTAATAACAAGTTAATAGGTGATCTTCCGTCTTGCCTAGGAAGTACTTCAGGTGAAAGAGTTGTTCAAGTGAACGGAAATTGTCTGTCAGTTGATTCTCAACACCAGCATCAGGTTTCATATTGCAGAGAGGTTCTTGCAAGGAACAAACACTCTAGAGGAAGAGAAACTGTCGTGCTAGTTGCTGTTGTCACTGGAGCTGTTCTTGTTTTACTACTTTTGGCATTTGGGGTTCTTTCCTTTTGTAGAAGATACCGTTCTAGAAGGACAGTTGAGCACAACGTATTTCCAGAGGTCGAGCCAGATCATTCACCAAATGGCTATTGCTCTGAACTCGTCGCAAATGCAAGTAAGTTGTAATTAATCAGGTTATTTTGTTATTATTGTTGCCCCAAACCCAAGGCATGATATTTCATAATGCGTAATATCAATTTTATGCTCTGAAATATGTGAATACAGACATGTTTGAGTAGCTACGAAAGCTTAACAAGGTAACATTTGTATTATACCCTTTGTAGGATTCGTATCTCAGGCAGCGAAGTTAGACACACACGGTGCCCCAGAGAGTCGTATATTTTCACTTGAACAGTTGAAGGAAGCAACAGACAACTTTGATTCATCTATGTTTTTGGGTGAAGGCTCTATGGGAAAGGTACCCTTCTGATTTAAAAATGCTAGCTAGGAGTTTAATGTGCTCGGAATTATTTAGTGATCACTTAAGCTCTCCTGATTCTTGATTTTGACCTGCTATTTTCGTTCTTTTTTGCTTTCAGCTTTACAAAGGAAAGTTGGAAAATGGGACCTATGTTGCAATCCGCTCGCTCACTATGTCGAAGAAATATTCAATTCAAAACCTTAAAGTTCGACTGGATTTGCTCTCCAAGCTTCATCATCCTCACTTGGCCGGCCTCTTGGGTTATTGCATTGTCAGTGGTGGACACAACGATTCCAGTGGCAACAGAATCTTCCTTATAAATGAATTTGTCTCTGGTGGGAACTACCGAACCCATCTGTCAGGTCAGTATTTGCATATGTGTGTGACAGCGTATTTTTAAAGTTTACCATAGGTTTTCATATTGAATTCTCTCAAATTCTAACCGAGCTGTGTGCATACGTGTAGAAAACTATCCGGACAAGGTTCTCAAGTGGTCTGATAGATTGGCAATTCTAATTGGAGTTGCGAAGGCTGTGCACTTTCTTCACACCGGGGCTATTCCAGGTTGCTTCAACAACCGACTGAAAACAAACAATGTGTTGTTTGATGAGCATCGGATTGCAAAGTTGAGTGACTATGGAATGTCCATCACCACAGATGAAAGTGAAACACTCGAGGCATGTTTCTTCACCCTTTTTACTTTTCGACTTTGCAATCTTAAGTACGGTTCCAAGTGGTTATTCTGATGCCGTTCTATTTGTTCTGCAGGCAAAGGAAGAAGGCCCGAAAACAAAATCTTGGTAAGAATGTAACCTATTGTCCAGAAAATAGCTCTCCAGCAGATTACTGTTGTTTTAACTATTCAAAAGTAAGTATAAATAGTTAGTTTTGTTGTTCTTTTTGCAGGAACAAAACAAACATGGAGAGTGATGTTTACAACTTCGGATTTATACTGCTCGAATCACTAGTTGGCACTATTGTAAACGGAAAAGGGGATGCATTTCTGCTAAACGAAATGGTACGCCAAAGTAAAGTTTCGAAATATTTCATTGGAACTGTTTTTTGATGTGTACTGTGATGGACCAAAATGCAGGCATCGTTTGGCAGCCAAGATGGTCGAAGAAGAATTGTGGATCCAATTGTGTTGACGACTTGCTCGCAAGAGTCTCTGTCGATTGTGGTATCCTTAACAAAAAAATGCATAAGTCCGGAAGTGTCAGCTCGGCCCTCTTTCGAGGATGTTCTTTGGAACTTGCAGTATGCAGCTCAAGTGCAAGCCACTGCCGATGCTGATCAGAAATCCGATTCTACGTCCCAAGACTCCCCCTGGTCAGTTGTAAGCTTACAGCCTACGAGACAGCCTGATAGCTGAGAAGTGAGATCACATTAACATGTAGCGGTGTGACTGTCACATTGAGAAAACATCTCTTAGCCTCCTGCTTGTAAAGATAACACTAGGTAGTAGGCCTGCACTTGGGCCATGTAAAAGTCGGTGCAAGAAAATAAGCGGATTTGTAGCTCAGCTGGCTATAAACGCTCACGATGAAAGACGAGGTTATGTTTTTAACTTCCTGTCCCTAAACATAGCTTGTATCAAAGAAAAAGAAGTTAGCATATGTGGTATATAATATGTATGCACGCTAATCACTAAAGAATGGTGATTGTTAATTGTAAGATTAAGTTAATCAGAGTGGGGAATTAAATTTAAAAAAAACAATGGTGTCTCTCACGTTACAAGGACAGAGAGGAACAATTTCTCCAGACTGCTCACGTGCTTTCCTCTCTTTCTTCCTTCAAAAGTAATCTGCAGAATTGTGTGAAGAGGTAACGTGGGATAATTAAATAATAAGAGAAATAAAAGAAGATAAAAATTCGAATTTAATTTTCATGCACACTTTTGTTTTGTTTATTTTTTTCTAGTGAATGCTGCAGATTTTGAAGGTATTGTTTATTTTTGTTAGTCGATTCTCTTCTAATCTATCCTATATATTAAGAAAATCCTCATTGTCAACTTTTTGTCACTTTTTTTCAATTTTACCCTTACTTTTGAGACACTCTTGACAAAAAGGAGGGCAAAATAATAATTTTATACCTTTTGTGTAACATCCCACATAGTCCCCAGGAAAGTGGATCCTGTAAGCCTTATATGTATATTCTCATCTCTACCTAGCACGAGGCTTTTTGGGAACTCACTGGCTTTGGGTTCTATCGAAACTTCGAAGTTAAGCGAGTTCGCGCGAGAGCATTCCCAAGATGGATGACCCATTGGGAAGTTCTCGTGTGAGTTCCCAGAAACAAAACCGTGAGGGTGTGAACCACAAATAGTCGATTCTCTTCTAATCTATACTATATATTAAGAAAATCCTCCTTGTCAACTTTTTGCCCTTTTTTTCTAATTTTGCCCTCACTTTTGAGACACACGCTTGACAAAAAGGAGGGCAAAATGGTAATTATGTAATATTAAGAAAAATATGCATCCCATCATCATTATCTCATACTCTTTTTAAAAAATTTAAAAACTAATCATGCTTCTTAATAAAAAACAAAAAAGAAAATGAAATTGTTCACACAGAAAATGTGTGCTCATCTTCTAGTTTTATTTAATTCAAAAGTTAAATATAAATAGAAGTGTGCATGAATAAAAAAACGAGAGTTGCATCTGACTCAAATCATAATCCGACCCGAAATTTTTTTTTTTTTATAAAGTATGAGAATCTAACCAAAGGTTGGTTGTGTTCCCCAACCTCAATTATAAATTTTGAATGCATTTTGTTAACAACCTAAGACCAAACCCCAATATCTTAACCTTGAAGTGGACAATGTTGTTTGGTGAAAGTGGACATTTTAACCTACTACTAACTTACCTCCTCCTCCACTAGAAGCTTTATATATGCCTTGTAAGTTGTAGCAGAACATGCTTAGATTTTAAGCTCATAGATACTTGATTCCATGGCCAGGGAGGCAGTCTGGTGACAGACTGAAAGGTGAAGGGTCCAATTCCAGCTCCAATTCTATGACACTAACGTTAATGACATTAATTCTTTGTCTTCTAAGTTTCCTTTCAACTTGTAACGATGGAGGTGACAGTACGCATCCAAATCAGTCTCAAAATGCTAGCTATTGAAGTGATAGTGCTATCCACACATTCTTGTTAATTTTTAACTATTGATTTTCTTTGATCCATTTGATTCGATTCCTGAAATAAAATACATATGTTTACAAAAAAAAAAATGACGTTGCCAAATAAGCGGTAAGCCTTCGAATTTGCATTTGACATTTTTTTTTTACAACGTCCTCTAACGGAAGAAGATCCTCTCCGGATACACTTTGTAGGGATCATCGTGCGGCTAGTTTTCTTTATATACTATTTGTGTTTAATTTTAAATAAAAAAAGTTAAATGATTTCTGACCTCATAATGCACGATAAATAGTTAAGATGTGAGGATCCATAAGATCTCCATAATTTGTATTCGGATGTAATCCAAATCCCGCTCTAACAGCAGCATTGTGTTTGACCCAAAAACAAAAAAAAAAAATCAACGGCATTGTGTCGGCGAGTATTATCCAACCATGCAACAAAAGCGAGCGCATCACCACGCTCAAAAGCCCTCGCGTGCATTTCACGCTCGGATTCAACCATCTTTCTGCGCGACGGTTACACACGCTCTCGGATTTTCAACTGCCAGTTGTTAACTGCAATTTATTAAGTGAGAGGAGCATTTCAGCAGCGGCGTCGTAATCAGGCCAACGTCAAAACGACAACGACCATCAAACACCGAACCAAATTCCAGCCAGCACGACGTCGTTTCAACACCCCTTTCGGACAGATAAATTTCCTCGCGCTCAACAACTAGTGATATTATATTTTATTTTTCTGGAAATTCCCGAGTCGCTACTGTCAGCTTCGCTTTGTTCAACTCTCTCTCTCACCGTCCGATAAAACGAATCGTCCCTCTCGTCTCGCTCCCTCGCATTTCTCCGATTTTTGGCCACTGATTTTTCTGGTAAATTCTCTATATTTTTCTTATTTATTCAGCTAATGTTTTCACTAATCTTTTCTTTATCTTCTTGTAATCTGCAGTTTTTGTTGCTTTTTGTTTAATTTGATTGCATGCGTTGTGATAAATCTGTTTGCTTTGAGCGAGCTTGAGTTTGAAATATGTGGATCGGATGCTTTTGGAGCAAATTTTAGGAAATATTTTAGTAGTTGATAACTCAGCATTGCTATTTTTGTGAATAATATTTGAAGAAATATTATTATTTATGCTCTCTTGTGTTGATGAGCTCAGGTTGTGATTTTTGAGCCTTTTTTTTTTTTTTTTTTTTATATAACTAGTTTCAGTCCCATTTTTCTTTAAAATTTACTAATTTTTATCTTTTGAGTGTCGGTGACCGCATTTGATGAGTGGAGTGACGTGACGAAGCCACCGACTGGTTACTTTTAAAGAAAATATCAAGCACTACCTTTTTTGGTGATGAATGCGATATTTTCGAATCCTAAGATTGACATTATTTTTCTGGTATTGTTTGCGTCTCAAGTGTTTGAAGTGTAAAGCCTTGTGAGTGTGAATACTTGAACGCATTGGAGAAGAAGTCTGCTGTGTGTTTCTGCAACCATGGGTCTAGGAGTGAAGGCCAAGAACCACCGCGGCAGCACGGTTCGAATCGATTATCTCATCCATATTCAGGACATTAAGCCTTGGCCGCCATCACAGTCGCTCAGATCACTCCGTTCTGTGTTGATTCAGTGGGAAAATGGCGACCGCAATTCGGGGGCCACCAGCCCTGTTGTCCCCTCAATTGGGTCCGTTGTTGGTGAGGGAAAAATTGAATTCAATCAGTCTTTCAGGTTACCGGTGACTCTGCTGAGAGATATGTCGGTTAAAGGTGGTGGTGGTGGTGGTGATACATTTCAAAAGAATTTGTTAGAGTTGCATTTGTATGAGCCTCGGAGGGACAACCCTAAAGGCCAGTTGTTGGCCACTGCCATTGTGGATTTAGCTGATCATGGTATCGTCAAAGAGACCATAAGTGTTTCCGCTCCAATGAACAGTACGAGGAGCTTTAGGAACACTGATCAACCAGTTTTGTATATCAAGATTCAGCCTGTTGTGAAGGGCCGCACTAGCTCCTCATCTAGGGGTAGCTTGTCGAGAGGGGTATCACTGGACAATGCTGGTAGTGAATCCGTTTCGGCCTTGATGAATGGGGAATATGCTGAGGAAGCGGAAGTTGCCTCTTTCACTGATGATGATGTTTCCTCGCACTCATCTCAAACAATTTCTTCCGCTTTAGAAACAAATCACACTATGTCTCCTCGAAAACAAGAGGTAATGATTCCAACTTAGTTTTCATTTTTCCTGTTTTGGATGGAAACTTGTCACTGTGACTGCTAAAATGATTATCTAATACGTCATATAACATTTTGGTATTTGGATTGCAGACGGGACAAGAGACGGGGCCTCATAGCACTGAAGGTGATAATGAGAAACGTACCTTACCCTCAAAACTAGAGCTTGAAAAAGCAAATTTAATGGCTCAGAATGCACTACATGAATATATGAAGGGAAATTCGTCATGCTCATCATCAATCGACCTATCTTCTGACCCTGGAAGCCCAGTAAATGGTAATGCTTCAGTTGGAAGCCCAGTAAATGGTAATGCTTCAGTAGCCAACTCTCCCAACTCAAATTCAAGGATCCTAAAAACTGTTGGTGCGGAGACTCTGCCTTCTCCATCAGCATCTTTTAATGGAAAGGCCGAAGATTCCAACTCCAGCATGAGAAGCAATGGCCATAAACACTTAGCTCACGAGGTTAATGATAAGGCTGTTGATGGCAGGGGTTGCCTGGAGGCTGCAGTTAGCAATGACAGCTATGACAGTTCTGCCAAGGACAACGAAGGAAAACAACAAGAAGAAAACAGACATGAAAGACAAAGTTTTGATGAGGAAAAGCATTCTAGGGAAGGTGAATCATCCATTGCGCATGAGGCTAATGGAAAGCAAGTTCCTATCGGAATGAAGGAAAATACGAAGCATGTTAAATCTGTTAGGTCACCGACTGACTCGACTAAGAATGCATTAACTGGTGTTCAGGGTGATGCACAGAACAGTGCAGGTATTGTAAGAAAAGATGCTAAAGTGTATCCTAGGGATACAAGGAGTGTGATCTTAGAAAGCAAAATCCATCAGATGGAACACAGAATTAAGTTGCTTGAGGGAGAATTGAGAGAAGCTGCGGCTGTTGAGGCTGCTCTTTATTCAGTAGTTGCTGAGCATGGAAGTTCCATGAGTAAGGTCCATGCTCCAGCTCGGCGCCTTTCTAGGCTGTATCTTCATGCTTGCAAAGAAAGTCCCCATTCTAGGAGGGCCAGTGCAGCTAAAAGTATTGTCTCAGGAATAGTTTTGGTTGCAAAAGCGTGTGGGAATGATCCCAAGGTACATTGCTTATTTTCCTGTGTTTTCTTTGTCTTATTTACAATCATGTTGCCTTTGAGATTGATCCTTTTTGAAGAGAGAGTTTCTCGAGCTTGTTAGATTTCTAACGTTGTGTGAATTTTTAACAAATTGGTGGAACTCTCGTGGTGGATAATAATTATATTGTTAATTGATGTGAAAATCAGGGCACTTGCTGCATGAGGATCTGTAGAAGAACTACATATATGAAATGCATGAATGAAGTTTTCATGTTCGTTTTATGGACTCATTCATTTTCCTTTTCTCCGATTACAGGCTTACATACTGGCTGTCAAATTCTATCGTGTTGAGAACAATCATAAGCCAGGTTATTGGTGAATCAGAATCACCTATGTTGGCAGTGCCTTCTATCGACAGGAATGGTGCTGGAAAAATAAAGAATAATGTATCTTCTCCAATTAAATGGAAGGCTTCATCTTCTGGGAAGAAAGAAGGATTGAAGCTCTTGAATGGAAGTTATGGTGACTGCGAGAACCCACAAACATTTATGTCTACACTGGAGAAGATTGAATCGTGGATCTTTTCCCGGATAGTTGAATCTATCTGGTGGCAGGTCATAGAGTAACTCTTTTCCTCTGTTTTTCCGCATTGAATTTTCTTCAAATCTAACTATCTTATCGAATGAATTTCATGAGGTCTTGCATCTGAATCTTTCAATTTTATATTTTCAGACTTTGACTCCACATATGCAGCCTGTCGTTGCAAAGGCAATTAGTGAAGGTGCTGATTCTGGGTCGAGTAAAAACTATAAAAGGACATCTAGTTCAGTTGATCAAGAGCAAAGTAGCTTTTCATTGGAGCTTTGGAAGAATGCTTTCAGGGATGCTTGTGAAAGACTCTGTCCAGTACGAGCTGAGGGACATGAGTGTGGCTGCTTGCCATTGTTGGCTAGATTGGTATATTTCCATCATTACGTATTGACATTAATAAGTATCTTCTTTTTTTCTTTGAAGTTATATGAATCTTGTGAATAGCAATGTCACAGGATGCTTCTGTTTCATATGTTATTCATTGATGAAAATTTCTCTCTTTTAAATTTGGCATTGCAATTACATCACATCTGTGTCACTGTCATGTGTCTAGGTAATGGAGCAATCTGTGGCTAGACTAGATGTGGCAATGTTCAATGCTATTCTTCGTGAATCGTCTGATGAGATCCCAACTGATCCTGTGTCCGATCCCATCAGTGATTTGAAGGTTCTTCCAATTCCAGCTGGGAAATCAAGTTTTGGGGTTGGTGCACAACTGAAGAGTGCGGTAAGCCATTCAAAGCCCTTATGCACCATAGTTGCGTGGCTTATTTGTGAATCTCTAGTGCACTAAATCGTTGATTCAAATGAGCAACTCTTACAAATCAGATAGTTATTTGCATTGGACTGAAAGCCATATTGGACAAAACACTTCCGAGTCCCATCAAATTCAAATCCTGTATAATCCCTGAGTCTCATTATTCTTAGTGTACCATTTTCCCAAAAAAAAAATTATTATTAGTGTACCCCGTCAAATTTTGCATCTCTATTATGTTATATGCAAGGAATTCTAACTTTTTTTTCTCCATTTATGATCATGGTTATCAGATTGGGAACTGGTCAAGATGGCTAACTGACCTATTTGGCATAGACGATGATGACTCACTTGAAGATGTGAATGACGATGGTGACAATGACGAGAGACAAGATACATCATTCAAGTCATTCCATCTCCTTAATGCGTTGAGTGATCTCATGATGCTCCCGAAGGACTTGCTCTTAAGTAAATCCATCAGAAAAGAGGTTCAGTACATTTCTCAGACCCTTCTATTAGACTCTGAGCATTGTCCGGTTCTTATTCAAAGTGCTTGGATTTTTTTGTTTTTTTTTCTTCTGAAGGTATGCCCTGCATTTTCTGCACCACTGATCAAGAGGATTCTCGACACTTTTGTCCCGGACGAATTTTGCACTGACCCAATTCCAGGCGTGGTGCTTCAAGCCCTGGAATCTGAGGTAATCAGCCGTTTCAAAATGATTTCTTTAGAAGAGCTGCATGTTTTGTGGTGAAATTGAAATAGTTACAATCCTAATAAGGCTGCAGTCTACGTTAAATCGAAACCAATTTCGGTCGCTTTTATCTTAAAATAGGACATTCTTGAGGCTGGGGAGGAGGCTGTCACAAACGTCCCGTGCACCGGAGCTGGTACAGTCTATTTGCCACCCTTAACAGCTTCCGTTGCGAGTATTATTGGAGAGGTTCGAAGCCAATCACAGCTGAGAAGAAGTGGGTCTTCAGTGCTCAGAAAATCATACACCAGTGATGATGAGCTTGATGAACTAAATTCACCCTTGGCCTCAATCTTCATCGATTCTTCCCGGTCTTCGCCAGTTTTAACAAAGCCCTGCTGGATATCGAAGAGAAATGGCAATCAAACTTCTGTCAGGTACGAACTCCTTCGGGAGGTTTGGATGAACAGCGAGTAGCTGTAATATATAGAAATACATGTCGAATAATAACACAATAAAACCAGTTGCGAGTAGAGAAATGCTTTCATTTTATACGATGTCACGGTCTTCACAGGCCAGTTTTTCATCTCTCATTCACTACATTACAAACTCTCCAGCTCTCATGCTGCACGCCACGCGACAAAAATAACACTTAGACGACCAAAATTTCAAAACTGAAGTCGGAACATTCAACACTCATGAACTCCAACCACACTGTAATTCTCACATCTTATATATATACGTATACTCCCGGAATGCATACCAAGAAAATGACGCAGATGAAGCGTAATCACGCGGTGAGCTTCTGGGAAGAATTGACAGCATTTATATGCTGAAGATGTAAAGCAGCCAACAGCCCCTGCCAGGTTTCTCCGGGTGCGGATTTGACCTGAAAATCGATGAGTTTGTGCTGTTTTCTGTAGTAATCTTCCGGCGACTTGGTCTGCGATAAGAGAGAAACGGATTACAACCCATTTTTCGATGATTTCCTACGTCTGTCGAAATCACCAAACAGATATAAACAGAGGACAATGGCCATACCTGCTCTACATCAGCAGGGGAATATTAAGCAGAGAAGTTTCGGGTTCCTAGATTCTTCTTCACCAAGTGCTCATTTGTGCGTTTCAAATTCACCACTAAATCAATATCAGCAATTTGATCAACAATCTCCTGTACCAAAGCAAAACAAATAAAAACATTTAGCATCCTAATCCCACAGAAATTACAGAACTTATCCGAAAATATGACGGTTTAGTTTCCCTCGGATTCAATTTAATTAAAAGTTTGTAACCGGTTATATCTGTGCAAATTGCACATAGAAGTTAAAACTCGCAGCTTGAGCTCTTGCTCGAGGAATCCCATCGAGGATGAACCCGTTTTCGCCGCGATAGCATCCTTCTTCCAACCTCTTCGACAACAACGCAAATATCACTTCGTCCGGGACAAGCTTCCTTTCATTCACTGCATTCGCAAGAGGGATCCCATAGAGAGAAGAGCGAGGGTTGAGCTCCTGGCGGAAGAGGGATCCCGTAGAAATGTGCGGAACTTCCAGCAGCTTCGAGAGCCTGTCGGCGTACAAGTGCTTTTTCGCGCCTCTGTCTCCGATCAGCACCCACTGCACACCTCTTCCCGGGACCCACCCGTCCGAGTCCAGCATCCGATCCGACTCGTCTTCCTCCGTTCCTCCTCTTCGTCCTGATAGTCGTAGTAATAGTCGTCGTCGTACTCCAACTGAGCCGCCGCCGATCCGTAGGCTCGGCGCTCCAAATTCCCCAGGCCGCGACGCGTGATCTGGGACGCAACTACTTGGAGGCGGCTCAGTACGGGTAGGGTGGCGGCCGGCGGTGGCTAACTCACTTTCTCTAGGGTTTTAGAGGGTGGAGATAGAGAAAGTGTGAGGTTTTTGTTAATGTCAAATGTCAGAGTCAATGGATGCCAGCAAGTGTGGGCGCGGATCAGGTGTATCAGGTGCAAAAGTTATCGTGCAATAATCTAGGTGTCAGAATCTTACAAGTTGATTGCGCTGCTAAAGGTTGTAGGAAATGCATCCCGGAGAGGGGGAGACACGTGTCAAATGGATGTGATCAAGGACTCCACAGATGGTGGAGGGTCGTTGTCGGGGTGCCACGTGGGTGATAGGCTCTGGTCAATGCTTTCCATTGGAATAGAACTGCTTTCTGTTGGCCACGAGTCTCTTCCTTCTTCCAGATTCATGGGCCATTTTGATTTACTAAAAAGTTAAGCTCCGCATTTTACATCAAACGAAAACATTCCCAATTTTCATAGTGGTCTAATAACAGATGGTCGGCTGCGTCCTAATTCAAAAGGCTATTCAATAAAAAAAGAAAAATACACGTATTATAATTTGAGTGAAATAGCAATACAAAGTATCGGCGTCGAAATTGATCTCAAGCTAGCCAGTACCTTGTGTGTCGTCGTAGTCCAACCAATCTTGTTAAAGACATAATTTTTTGTGAAAAATGTGAAAGATAAATTTGCTCTCAAACCTTCACCCTTCTTGTATGATGCCAGAAAAGGTTGAAAAGTACTCCACCCTTTTCGTGTGGTTGAATTTTTGCTTTAAAATTAAATTACATTCTTAAAGAGTGAGAATTGTTCTATATTTCTGCAACGAAAAATTAAGTTCATTGTTAAAGACAACTTTTGCACAAAATGTGAAAGATATATTTGATTTCAAAACTCCACCCTTCTTTGGTACGATGATAGAAAATTAAGATTGAATCAAACTCCACCCTTTTAGTGTGATTTAATTTTTGCTTTAAAATTAAATTACATTCTTAAAGAGTGAGAATTATTAGTGTACCCCTCAAACTTCCATCTCTATTATGTTATATGCAAGGAATTCTAACTTTTTTTCTCCATTTATGGTCATGGTTATCAGATTGGGAACTGGTCAAGTTGGCTAACTGACCTATTTGGTATAGACGATGATGACTCACATGAAGATGTGAATGACGATGATGACAATGACGAGGAGGCTGTCACAAACGTCCCATGCACCGGAGCTGGTACAACAGTCTATTTGCCACCCTCAACAGCTTCCGTTGAGAGTATTATTGGAGGTTGGAAGCCAATCACAGCTGAGAAGAAGTGGGTCTTCAGTGCTAAGAAAATCATACACCAGTGATGATGAGCTTGATGAACTAAATTCACCCTTGGCCTCAATCTTCATCGATTCTTCCCGGTCTTCGCCAGTTGCAACAAAGCCCAGCTGGGTATCGAAGAGAAATGGCAATCAAACTTCTGTCAGGTACGAACTCCTTCGGGAAGTTTGGATGAACAGCGAGTAGCTGTAATATATAGAAATACATGTCGAAGATTCAGAAGTATATATAATTTGCCTCTCTTCCCCGTTGGTATTTGTAAATCTGTTCTCCGATTTTGGTCGCAACATTATATCATTGATTGTCGCGTACAAAAGGAAACGAAAACGTCGTAGCTCAAGTGGTTAAGAGTGTTATTTGTGTGTTGGATAGTGGTCAAAGTATCGACTGAAATAGCAATACAAAGTATCGACGTCGAAATTGATCTCAAGCTAGCCAGTACCTTGTGTGTCGTTGTAGTCCAACCAATCTTGTTAAAGACATAATTTTTTGTGCAAAATGTGAAAGATAAATTTGCTCTCAAAACTTCACCCTTCTTCTGTACGATGACAGAAAAGGTTGAAAAGAACTCCACCCTTATCGTGTGGTTGAATTTTTGCTTTAGAATTAAATTACATTATTAAAGAGTGAGAATTGTTCTTTGCGCAAAGTGTGAAAGATCACTACTACAATATAGGGTATCACCGGCGGAGCTAAAACCGACAAGAAATCCACTTTCTGTCGAAAATTTGGCAAAAATCCGACATAAAACAATGTAATGTCGGATTGGAATAGCGACACTAATGCTAGCGTCACTAAAGGGCTTCAGTGTCTGTTTGTACGCTTAATCCGCCACTAAGCAGTGTCGGTTGAATGCGACACTGAAGCTTACGTCGGTTTAAAGCGACGTAAACTAATAAAATAAACAATATAATATTCAACCTAGTGTCGGTTTTATCCGACATAGTGATAAAATAAACAATATAATATCCTACCTAGTGTCGGTTTTATCCGACATAGTGATAAAATAAACTAATAATAAAAACCTTAAACCGACGTAAGATAACACTTAAATAAATAAAATATTCACTTTAACCCACACCACCTTTGTTAATCCAGAACTCATCGGATGTTCTGATACCATGGGAGTTCAATAACAGGTGTTTGCCGGAACAATTCTGGGGAATCAACGAAAGTTATACATAGGTTAGCACCTAAAAATTTAGGTAAATTCAAACATGCAGAGCATGAAATGTTTAATGAAAACCCATTCGAGCTCAGGGGACCCTCAATATTACCGAGTTCCTCGCCGGAGCTCCACATCAGAACCTGGGGTGAAGAACAAATAATCACAAAGGTTAGAGACCCATATTTCGAACCCATATTTAATCCGAGATGCAAGAAGACATTACCTCAGATGAGAAATTCCATAATTTGGGACAGGTTTGATTTAGAACTCGTCGGAGTTCCACCGGAGGAAATTGCCAGACGCTAGAATTGAAGAACAGAAAATTACAGGCGTTTTAGACCTTGGATTCCAAGTTGATTTGAACATGCAAGGCTTGAAAACATTACCAGAGATTGAATGGGAGGGTTGATAGGTTGAATTAAGGACTGGAACATCAGGTTCCATCCCCAGCTCGCTGAAAACCATGGTGTTCTCCGTGCGACACCATCCTAACTCCAAACCCAACATTCGGTTTCCCAATCACATAAATTAAAGTGCTAATTTTTCCTACCCATCCCTAATCCTAAAAAAAAAAGGCCCATAAACCCAGAAATTGCATGCTGCTGCTGTTGAAATTGCATGCGCCCAATAATCTGAAGAATTTGTACACAGAATTTGTACACGGTTTGGGCTCTGTTGAATTTGAAACGGCGATTGCTGCTGCTGCTGTTGTGGCTGCGAAGAAAGAGCAAAGAAGGAGCTACTGCTATTGTGGCTGCGAATGAGGAGCAAAGAATGAGCTGTTTTGCTGCAGGGACTGTGTTCTTGCTTTATATTTAGAATTTTGTGCGGGAGTCTACTAGAGTGGTGTGAAAATTTCAAATTTCAAATTTCACAATGTTTGAAATTTTGCAAAGGTTTAGTGACCCGCCATTTTAAAATTTTTAATGCGACACTAGTATTAAAAATATTACAATTAATGTCGGTTATAAGCGACATTAGTATTAAAAATATTAAAATAGTTTTTTTAATGCGACACTAGAACCGACGCAAAATTTAAAATATTTAAAAAAATAATTTGTGTCGCTTTATAGAACCGACGCAAGCTTTAAAATATTTAAAAACAATAATTTGTGTCGCTTTAAAGCGACACCCTTACTTTATGTCGCTTTAAAGCGACACCCTTACTTTATGTCGCTTAAAAGCGATACTGTTTTGCTTAAAGCGACGCCAGTATTTAAAAATTATTAAAATATATGTCGCTTAAACCGACGTAGGCATTTTATGACGCTTAAAAGCGACAGTAAATCCGACATCATGTTCAGTTAGTGTCGCAACTGTCTTACGCGCCACTATATTATATTAAACCGACGCCACATATTGACACTATAAGGCCCTTTTGTAGTAGTGGATATATTTGATTTCAAAACTCCACCCTTCTTTGGTACGATGATAGAAAATTAAGATTGAATCAAACTCTACCCTTTTAGTGTGATTTAATTTTTGCTTTAAAATTAAATTACATTCTTAAAGAGTGAGAATTATTAGTGTACCCCTCAAATTTGCATTTCTATTATGTTATATGCAAGGAATTCTAACTTTTTTTCTCCATTTATGGTCATGGTTATCAGATTGGGAACAGGTCAAGATGGCTAACTGACCTATTTGGTATAGACGATGATGACTCACTTGAAGATGTGAATGACGATGATGACAATGACGAGGAGGCTGTCACAAACGTCCCATGCACCGGAGCTGGTACAGTCTATTTGCCACCCTCAACAGCTTCCGTTGCGAGTATTATTGGAGAGGTTGGAAGCCAATCACAGCTGAGAAGAAGCGGGTCTTCAGTGCTCAGAAAATCATCCACCAGTGAGTGATGATGAGCTTGATGAACTAAATTCACCCTTGGCCTCAATCTTCATCGATTCTGTTACAACCACTCCCACTTTCTATTTAATAAAATGATTTCTTTAGCTTTTAATTAGTGAGTCGTGGGACCCGCCTTATTTTTATATCTTGGTTTCCAGTTTATCTCTCCCTCTTATATCTGAAATCAACTCTCTCTCTCTAACTCTCAGAACTCACTCTCTCTAAGCTCCGAGAGCTCTACCCTTGCTCTCACTTCGATTCCTTCACAAATCAAACCCCAAAATCATATATTCGGAATCCTTGAGACCCAACGAACTCAATGGTACCCTTGCATGCGCCATCAGAGCATCGTGGAGTTTTCTGCCATTGAAGCCGAGAGCTTCAAAGCTCTAAAACTCGAACCCAGGTGAGAAGTGTGTTCCTTCTTCAAATTTCTGGGTTGCATGTTGGTTTTATGACAAAACTCAAGGGTTTTGATCTCAGTTTTTCCCTATGCTAATAATCTAGCTCCGGCGAGTTCGTGTGTGTGTGTGCGCGTACGGTGTGCAGGTGTGTATGCATGTCCGTGTGTGTGTGTGCTACGGTGCATGTTGTGTGTGTGGGTACAGTGTGTGGTGTGGGTGTGTGTGTGAGCATGTTGTGCATGCCGTGTATACTGTGCGTGTATGTGATTATGAGTGTGTGTGTTGTGAATGGGTGTATGCGTGTACAGTGTGTGTGCTTGTGCAATGTGTACGTGTGTTTGTGTGGGTGCATGTATGTGTGTCCGTGTGTGAGTGTGTGTGTTGGTGTGAATGTATGTGTGCATGCGTGGGAGTGTGTGTGTGTGCTGGTGTGAAAGTATATGTATGTGTGTGTGTTTATATAGATATATATATATATATATATATGCATGTGTGGGTGCAGCGCATGCTAATGCATGCTGTGTGTATGTGTGTGTTTATATATGTATATGTATATGCAAGTGTGTGTGAGCAGTGCATGCTTTGCATGTGTGTGTGTGTTGATAAGTATGGGTTGGGCTCAAGCCCAAACCACCTCTTGATCCTAACCTATCCAAATCCAAAATCTATTTCCATTTCCTAAAATTCTATCTTTTGGGTAGTTTACTAAATTGTACATTTTCGTGCTTAGGTGAAGTTGCTAGTGGAGACTTTCTTAATCATTTTCCGCACAATTCTGCTGCTACGGAGTATCTGTGAGTGGACCACCTTCGAAAATTGCATGTTTTTATTGATAGAAATGCATAATTTAATAGCATGCCTTGCAGAATTATTGATTTGAGGAATACTTTACAGGAAGCATGATGATTTGATTATACGTGATTATATATATATGTTTTGAATTATTTCCATTATATCGTATTTTCTATAGAACCCTCATTCTAGTAGACTATCTGATCGATGACGATAGGATGCTAAGAATGTGTTTCAAATGACTTTCGAACACCTCTTCGTAGTATAGAGGATCGATGAATTTATGCTACGAAGTTGTATTTTAGAGATGAATTATGTTTTGTGCGTACCTAGTGAACACTATGCCGCCTGGGGCGAGGATCTGGTGTTGGCATTGAGGCCGGGAGAAATAATCCCTAGCGAAAGGCTGAGGGACACGGAGACAGGCATTGGGCCGGGAGGGAGATATCTCTGGCTACGGGCACAGAGACTGAGGTGCAGGCATTGGGCCGGGAGTATTGTTATTCAGTGCACTCACTAGCAGCACAACTTGTGTTATGCTTCCTGATACGATTTCTGATACGATTTCTGATATGATTTCTGATATGATTTTCTGATATTGATTTGCAGATGGATATATGAATTGTTTTTATGGCATGCTAGAGGTTTTGAGAAACCTATCACTTATTATTTAGTAGTTTTCATTATCTTAACTGTGGGGGTTAGTATGTTCATAACTATTTTCGTACTATGTATGTATATAAATTTGGTCCACTCACCCTTGTTTTGCGCCCCCATTCAGGAACTTGAAACGAGGCATAGAATCCCGGCATTAAGGTACTTCCGCAGCGGCATCTTCGAGTCCTCTCGGGGTAGGACCCACTCCTTTGTTCATTTAATCTTATCTTAATTCTTGTTAGTGACTAGGTTTAGCTGTATGCTCTGAACACGTTCCTAAATTGTTAATTCATTGTTTTTAAATTCATAACCCGTATTTATTCTTTATTACTAGCTTTTGTATCAATAAATGGCTTTCGTCACCTCAGGTGTCGGCCAGCACGTGCCTATCCTGATATTCGGGGAATATCGGGGTCGGGGCGTGTCAGATTCTTCCCGGTCTTCGCCAGTTGCAACAAAGCCCAGCTGGGTATCGAAGAGAAATGGCAATCAAACTTCTGTCAGGTACGAACTCCTTCGGGAAGTTTGGATGAACAGCGAGTAGCTGTAATATATAGAAATACATGTCGAAGATTCAGAAGTATATATAATTTGCCTCTCTTCCCCGTTGGTATTTGTAAATTTGTTCTCCGATTTTGGTCGCAACATTATATCATTGATTGTCGCGTACAAAAGGAAACGAAAACGTCGTAGCTCAAGTGGTTATGAGTGTTATTTGTGTGTTGGATAGTGGTCAAAATTAGTGGCCAACTTGCAAATGCCTTTTGATTAAATAAAAAAAAAAAAGTGGACAACATCATTGTGTCCCTTCCTTGTTTTGGAGAGAAAAAAAGGCACCTTGTCTAAAGTTATTTGTTTGGCCATCAACACCCGTGGGTTTTGGTTCTTAACAGGGTGTTGTTGCCTTTGGAGCAATTGGAGAGAAAATGGAGAGCACCACAGAGAGAAGTGAGAGCTGCCGAGAGCAGAGAGAGATGCAGAGAGCCTAAAACAAGAAAGAGCTGCTGCTCCATTTGTTAGTAATCATCCACCAAGGTGTTGTTGTTGTATTAGCTTTGAGCTTTGTATAGAGAGGAAATTATTCACAATATTTCCTTCTCTATTTGTTTCTTTGGTGTGTGAGAGCTATTGGGTGTATTAGGCATTTGGGTTGTGAGCTTGCCAACACTTTGTAAACTCCCATTTAGTTGATAGTGGATTATTAGGTGAGCTCCTACTGCTCCAAGGACGTAAATGATGAAAAAAAACGCTGACGGAAGGGGATATTTCTTCTCGATTTCGAATAATAACACAACAAAACCAGTTGCGAGTAGAGAAATGCTTTCATTTACACAACAAAACTAAGTCGGAACATTCAACGCTCAAGAACTCCAACCAAACTCTGCAATTCTCACATCTTATATACATATACTTGTACTCCCGGAAAGCATACGAAGAAAAAAAGACGCAGATGAAGCGCAATCACGCAGTGAGCTTCTGGGAAGATTTGACAGCATTTATACGCTGAAGATGTAAAGCAGCCAACAGTCCATGCCAGGTTTCTCCGGGCGAGGTTTTGACCTGAAAATCGATGAGTTTGTTCTGTTAATCTTCCAGCGGCTTGGTCTGAGACAAGAAGAAACGGATTACTGCCCATTTTTGATGATTTCCTTCTGTTTGTACATTCAAGATTCACCACTAAATCCATATCAGCAATTTGGTCAACAATTTCCTGTAACAAACAAAACAACCATAGACACACAGCATTCGAATCTCCATGAAAACAAAATATATTCAAATTTCCCACCGAAATTAAAAAATTCTTCTAAAATATGCAACGGTTTAGTTTCCCTCGCGTTCAATTTAATTAAAAGTTCGTAATGGGTTCTATTTGTGCACATTGCACATAGAAGTTAAAACTCACAGCTTGAGTTCTTGTTCGAGGAATGCCAACGAGGATGAGTCGGTTTTCGCCCCGAAAGTATCCTTCTTCCGACCTCTTCGACAACAGCGCAAATATCACTTCGTCCGGAACAAGCTTCCTTTCATTCACTGCACTCGCAATCTAAATTACCAAAAAAAGAGAAAGCATTCAATTTTCTTCCCAACAAAATTGGAAAAGATGATATTTTTACTCCAGAAAAATCCTAATTCTTGCAAAAGAAACTCAATTGAAGTTAAAGACATAATTTTTTGGGCGAAATGTGAAACATATATTTGATTCCAAAACTCCACCCTTGTTGCCAAAAAGATTGAAACAAACTCTACCCTTTTAGTGTGGTTGAATTTTTGCTTTAGAATTAAATTACATTCTTAATGAGTGAGAATTATTCTTTGCTTCTGCAACGAAAAAATTATGTTATTATTTGTTAAAGACATATTTTTGTGGGCAAAATGTGAAAGATATAGTTGATTTCAAAACTTCAACCTTCTTTTGTATGATGCTAGAAAAGATTGAACCAATCTCCACCCCTTTAGTGTGGTTGAATTTTGCTTTAAAAATTAAAGTACATTCTTAAAGAGGGAGAATTGTTCTTTGCTTCTACAACGAAAAATTAAATAGTTAAAGACATATATATTTGATTTCAACACCTCACCCTTCTTCTGTACGTTGTAGGAAAAAGATTAAACTTGACCCTTTTAGTGTGGTTGAATTTTTGCTTTAAAATTAAATTACATTCTTAAAGAGTGAGTATTGTTCCTTGCTTTTGCAAAGAACAAATTATTTTCTTTGTTAAAGACATTATTTTTTGCATGAAAAGTGAAAGATATATTTGATTTCAAAACTCCACCCTTCTTTTGTTCAATGTCAGAAAACATTGAAACAATCTTTTAGTGTTGTTGAATTTTTTGCTTTAAAATTAAATTACTTTCTTAAAGAGTGAGTACTGTTCTTTGCTATTGCAACGAAAAAAATTATGTTATTTGTTAAAGACATCATTTTTTGGTCGAAATGTGAAAGATATAATTGATTTCAAAACTACCCATTTATGCACGATGCCCTAAAGGATTAAAACAAACTCCGGCTTTTTTCATGCAGTTGAATATTTTGCTTTAAAATTAACTTACATTCTTAAACAGTGAGAATTGTTATTTGCTCTTGTAACGAAAAAAAAATACGTTCTTTGTTAAAGACATAATTTTTTGGGGCAAAATGTGAAAGATATAACTGATTTCAAAACTCTACTTTTCTTCTGTACAGATGCCAAAAAGATTGAAACAAACTCCACCCTTAGTGTGTTTGCATTTTTGCTTTAAAAATTAAATTACATTCTTAAAGACGGGGGATTGTTGTTTGCATCTGCAACAAAAAAATTGTTAAAGACATAATTTTTTGGGCGAAATGTGAAAGATATATTTGATTCCAAAACTATACCCTTCTTCTGTATGATGCCATAAAAGATTGAAACAAACTCCACCCTTTTAGTGTGGTTGAATTTTTCGTTTTAAAATTAAATTACATTCTTAAAGAGTGAGTATTGTTCTTTGTTTTTGCAACGAACAAATTATGTTCTTTGTTAAAGACATAATTTGTTGCTTGAAATGTGAAAGATATATTTGATTTCAAAACTTCACGCTTCTTCTGTTTGATGTAAAAAATGATTGAAACAAACTCCACCCTTTTAGTGTGGTTGAAGTTTTGCTTTAAAATTAAATTACATTCTTGAAGAGGGAGAATTGTTCTTTGCTTCTGCAATGAAAAGAAATTATGTTCTTGTTAAAAAGATTTTTTTTTTGGCAAGAAATACAAAAGATATATTTGATTCCAAAACCTCACCCTTCTTCTTTACAATGCCAGAAAAAATTGAAACAAACTCCAACCTTTTAGTGTGGTTGGATTTGTGCTTTAAAATTATAGTACATTCTTTTGTTCAAAAAAAAAAAAACATACATTCTTAAATAGTAAGAATTGTTCTTTGCTCCTGCAACGAAAAAGAACACATGTCACTACACTTTTTCTATACATATGACGAAAGATATACGACAACCATAATAAACATGCATGTATCGTCATACGCTTAAGAGCGGTATTAGTTTCCGTTATTGGGTTCGTTTGGATGTACTTTTAAAATGACTGAAAGCGAGTTTAGAGAAAATATTTTTTGGTTCCAAAAGCACCTAAAGTGCTTTCTGCAAGAAGCATCAGTTATGTGCTTCTTCCAGGAAGCACTTTAAGTGTTTTTCCAGAATATACTTGCATTTTTACTAAGAATTAGTTCTAAAAACATTTTAAATAAAAGCGCTTTCAGTCATTTTAAAAATACATCCAAACGAGCTCATTATCTTCTTCGGATGATGAAATTCTCCTGAGGAGAAAGAATGTACTTGTCGGTTCTTGTTTATTATTGTATGAATTATTTTGGTTGATTGTGTTTACCGTTGATTTTTTTTAGAGCAAATTGGAATTTAAATTAAACCAAGAATTTGGAGGTTTTAAATAAAAGAAGTAGGGCTTAGTAATGATTAAAGGATTATAGTTGGATAAAAGGAGAGAAAGCTTGTTACGGTTAGCAAATTATGATTAAATTAGAAGTAGGATAAAAGAAACTTTAGAGCTTTAAAGTATCCAAGAGATTTAACATGTCGAATTATGATGGTGCTTAATTTAAGATCACATTTGTAAGGGTATTGCTAGGGAAACCAAATTTTTAGACCAAATTTGCAAACTAAATGATGTGTCACCAAGAGAAATAAGCACGTTAAAAAATCACTTTTTTGTATTCTCCTTTTTCTTTTCTTAAAATTGGTGTCCTCTCTCTCCAAAAGTTCTCTCCCTCAACAAAACCCTAGCCGGCTACCTCCATCGTCGCTGGCCTTTGGCTATGGCTGGGAGGCGGTGGCAGCTTCCCTCATAGCCTTTTCTCTCTTCCTCTTCCCCATCCCAGCCTTCTTCCCCCTTTCCATACATGACCTTCTTTCCCCCCGACATCATGCTGACTTCTCATTTCTGGCCTTCACCTACCTCATCTCCCCTCTCGTGTTTCTCTCCTACCATTTTGTGTGCAGCATTCTTCAGATTTATGCCTTGTACCCTGATCTGGGTCATGCCTTTTCAAGATTTTTTTTTTTTTTGATTCAGTGTGGCTTTTCTTGGTGTGGGTGGATTCGGGTTGCAGGTGGGTTGGATCCACCTTTGTCAACTCATTTACAGGGTGGTGTCCCCTTCCTCACTTGGTTCCTGTGGTTGAACTGACGTGTGCACTCAGATCTGGCGGCTCAACTTAATCTGGTGGCTAGGCTTGTGCGGCTCGGACCTAGTGGCTCCACTGCATGTTGCAGCTAGCCCTTTTGGTGCTAGATGTGTGGATACCGGTACCTTACTCCAGCGAATTTGTATGTGGTCTTGGCTTGACTGGCTCGTCCCCCTCTGTGATCATGAGCGGACTAACGGATCCCTTCTCAGAGTAGTGTAGTTTTTTTCACTCGCCTTATGTGCACCATGGTGGCGCTGTTGTTTTGGCTAGATTGGTCTTTGCCTTTATGCAATGTGTTAGGTAGTCTCGTCTGTTAACGATGACTTGATGTGGTCTCGCTCTATCACGATGACTTTATGTGGCCTCGTTATTCAGCAATGACCATTGTGGCTGCCTGTATTGCTTTGTTGCGGCTATTATTTATTGTGATATTTTTGTACTAGTGGCACTTGTGTGCTTGGCGATTGTGTGTTCGTGCTTGTGGTAGTCTACTAGGGGTTTACTCTTATTTGTTTGTTTGCACAAATTCACTCCAGATCAATTTATTGGTCACTGGAGCTATGTACCCAATAACACCCTTGTATTTGTTTTTGTTGATTAATGAATTACCACACTATCGTTTGTTGTAAAAAAAAAAGCACGTTAATCAAGATTAAAGTAATAATCAATCATCAATCACCACGTCATTTGATTTGTAAATTGGTTTTGAAATTTGGACTCTCTAGAATTACCCCATTTCTAAAGGTAACAGAGATTAGATTATCCAATGGTATTGATAGAGTAGATTATCCAACGATATGAAAATATAAGTGTTTTGAAGAGGGACAAAAAATTGGAAATAAATGGTTATTCATATTCCAATTTCGATGGATGTATATACTTAGAAAGTCTATTTTTAGTTGGCTTTTTAGTCAAAATGGTCCGTGAGATTGTCCTAACTCCTTACTTTGGCCCTTGAGATTGTCCCAACTCCTTACTTTGGCCCTTGAGATTTCAAATCGATAGAAGCGGTCCTTCAGATTGTCCACCGTCAATCATTTTGGTTCTTCTGTAAAAAATCTCCATTAAACTGAAGAAAAAAAAACCACCAATTCAAGTGGATAAGTTGATTTGATAAAAATACTTTCAATTTTAACGGAGAGTTTTCATTGAAGAACCAAAATGATTGACGGTAAACAATTTGACGGACCACTTCTATCGATTTTAAATCTCATTGACCAAAGTGAGGAGTTATGCATATCTTAAGAACCATTTCGGCTAAAAAAACCTTTCTAGTTTTGTGTTTGTATTAGAAGGGGGTGCAAAAACATGGACAAATGTTAAGCAATCAACAATCACTTATACTCTACATGTATGTATGCTTAATTCATGGGATGTTATGGATGTCTTGAGATGCTAAAGATATGTATTAGGGTTAGTTTTTTATGGGCAAGAAATCTAATAATCTCACTCAGTCTCACCTATAAATGTAAAGCTTAGGTCTTCACTCTCATACACAATATTCTAGCACAAAACCTACCCCATATAGGAGTGCATATTAATGGCTTTTCAAGGTTAGTACTTTTAGTGTGCATATCATAGAAGACTTACAATTTGATCTGCTGAATCTTTATCTAATTAACGTCAACCTGCATGATTGCATTTGTTTGATTTTCAGGTACATGTTTCCCATCCAATTTTATTCCATCATTCTGCACTCATGTCAAATTGTGATATTAGGAATACAAGGCCGCCTGCTTCTAAGCAAATGCGCTCAGTATTATCCTTTTTAAAAATACTTCAGAATTTGTTTCGTTGCAATTTGGTTCAGAATTTTTAAAAATATCTAGTCATGGAAAGTAAGAGAGAAATTAACGAAGTTGATGATAGTATTTCAGTAGTTGTAGACAATGATGGTATTGTAGATGAATTGAGAAACCGCATCGAACGAAGGCTTCTCAGATATTCACCAATGCCAGCATTCCGCTCCATCTTCAAAGTTCCCGAGAAGATACGGAGCAAAAAAGAGCCAGCATACAAACCTGACATCGTCTCAATCGGACCCTATCACAGTGGCCCCCATGACGATTCTGGCAAAAAATTCCGACTCATGGAAAATGTGAAGCACTGGTACTTGCACTGCCTTCTCTCACGTGTTAACATAACTTTGGCAGGCTTGATCAAAGAAGTCATGGATTTAGAAGAGCTTGCTCGCGACTGTTACGCAGATCCAATCGATCCCAATATAAACTTCGTTGACATGATGGTACTCGACGGATGCTTCCTAATCGAACTATTTCTAAAAGGACCCGATTACAACGACATAAACGACCCTGTTTACAGTGTGTCCTGCACGCGGGATTATCTTTGCCATGACCTTATCCTGCTAGAAAATCAGCTTCCATGGTTTGTTCTCCAGCGGTTATACTATTTAACTGCCGTGGAGAATTTTCCTAGCGAAGAAAATGCCTCCTCCTCCCTCATCCACCTTGTCCTAGGATTCTTCGAACGCATCATCCCGAAGGACCCGAACAAGAGTATTCCAAACCCGAAACGCCCTGGCAAAATCCTGCACATACTCGATCTCATAAGAGCCGTGATCGTTGCCCCGTTTGAAGTCCCCAAAGAGCAGAGGAAGGAGAAGCAGACAATTCCAAACGTGACAACTCTGTCCAAAGCCGGCATTAGATTCCAAAAAGGTTCCAATGCCTGCATACTGGACATAAATTTCAAAAACGGGGTGTTCACTATTCCACCACTACCATTCGCCGAGACGACAGAGCCACTCTTCAGGAACCTCATCGCCTTCGAGCAATGCCACTGCAAACGCACCCACAAGATAACGTCTTACGCCGTCCTGATGGAGAGTTTCATTGATTCGAGCAAGGACATCGACCTTCTTTGTGAAAGGCAAATACTGGGGAACTGGCTGAGCGCGCAAGACGCTGCACAGTTCTTCAACTTGCTGTACAATGACGCAACGGTCGACAAATTCTTCTACAGCGGACTCTGCGCTGATGTGAATGACTATTACAACTCTAAATGGAACAAGTGGATGGGAAACCTGTGGCGCGAGTATCTTGATACACCGTGGGCGATTATTTCTTTGATTGCGGCGTTTATTCTGCTGGTTCTCACAACGTTGCAGACAGTATACACAATGCATCAGTATTATCATCCTCCTAAGTAGTTATGTTAACTTGGATGTAAGTTAACAGAAATGTTCCGTGTGTTATTGTCTTGATTTTCTTTCGTTGCCAACGCTTAAGGCTTGGACATGTAATGGGTTTTTGTGCGAGTGTTAGAAACTTGTGAGAGCTACAAGTTTCGTCATTTGAAGTTTTTTTGGACAACCCTGTTGTGACGGCTTCATCACGTATCTTGTCCGACCACCAAATAATATGTTGTCACGTTGTTATATCTTGTATTGCTTGTTGAAGGTTTTGTTTGTTATGATTGTTATCATGATTAAAGTTAGACCTTATACCCTCTTTGACAGATTGTATTTTCCTTCTCTTTTTAATAAAACTACCTCGTTGTCACTTTCTATGATGGCAATGCTAGAATGAGATCGACTTTGTGACCGAGAATTATGTAATCGAAGTAGGGGAAGCTATATGACCTTCCAATCGGACCTTCTCGTTTTGGCTCTCTTTATCTTCCATCAATAACATGTGAGTAGTTAATAACATATCGATACGTTTGTTAGTATTAAATAATTAATAATGCATTGGTATCAATATGTTTGTAGATATTGAATAATCAGACTGACCACGAGCTTAGATACTTGTATGAAATATTTAGAGCACTACTGGATATAGAGAACAATTTTAGTCATCTGAACAGATCACCACCAAACCAAAGAGCTTGAATATAAATTCAAGGAAGAAGCTGCTTGCTACTTTCGTTTATTTTTTCTGGTGGTTGAGACGGTTTTGACCGTTGGCGACAGACAGCTGGCCCATCCAAAAAAATCTGTTGCTTCAAGAAAGTTTTAAATTAAAGGTTAATTCTCAAAGCTTAAATATACACTTCTACTCCCGGAATGCATACGAAGAAAACAAGACGAAAAAGTTACAGATGAAGCGTAATCACGCAGTGAGCTTCTGGGAAGAATTGACAGCATTTATATGCTGAAGATGTAACGCAGCCAACAGCCCCTGCCAGGTTTCTCCGGGTGCGGCTTGGACCTGAAAATCGATGAGTTTGTTCTGTTTTCTGTAGTAATCTTCCAGCGACTTGGTCTGAGGTAAGAGAGAAACGGATTACTACCCATTTTTCAATGATTTTCTACTAACATTTTTCAATGGAAATAAACTACCACCATATAAAACGGAACAAAGTCGAAATCATCAAACAGATATAAACAGAGGACAATGGCCATACCTGCTCTGCATCGGCAGGGGAAGACTTCAGTTCTTCCTTTGACTGCAGATTTAGATTTCGAACGGAGAATTTAACCTCCTTGTAGAGAGAAGAGCGAGGGTTGAGCTCCTGGCGGATGAGGGATCCCATAGAAATGTTCCGAACTTCCAGCAGCTTCGAGAGCCTCTCGGCGTAAAAGTGCTTCTTCGCGCCTCTGTCTCCGATCGGCACCCACTGCACACCTCTTCCCGGGACCCACCCGTCCGAGCCCAGCATCCTATTCCGACTCGTCTTCCTCCGTTCCTCCTCTTCGTCCTGACCGTCGTAGTAATAGTCGTCGTCGTACTGCAGCTGAGCCGCCGCCGATCCGTAGGCTCGGCGCTCCAATTCCCGAGACCGCAGCGCGTTATCTGGGACGCAACTGCTTGGAGGCGGCTCAGTACGGCCATGGTGGCGGCCGGCGGTGGCTAACTCGCTTTTTCTGGGGTTTTAGAGGGGGGGGAGAGCGTGGGGTTTTGTTAATGTCTAAATCAACGGATGCCGGGCTGCCACCAACTCTATTTAGTCTTTGACTTCAGTATGGGGGCGGATCACGTGTATCATGTGCAACGGTTATCCTGCAACAATCGACGTGTCAGAATCTTACGAGTTGATTGCGCTGTTGAGGGTTGTAGGAAATGCATCCCAGAGCAGGGGAGACACGTGTCAAAATTATGTGACCAAGGACTCCACAGATGGTGGAGGGTCGTTGTCTGGGTGCCACGTGGGTGATAAGCTCTGGTTAATGTTTTCCTTGGGGACGTGGATCCTCTCTCCGGATCCAATTGTCCTAATCCTAGGGATTAATGAATTCAGATCATTGAAATTTGATCAAACGGTTAAAGTTATTATAACTTTTATAATAAACCCCTGTTTGTAACTGTTCGATCAAATTTCAATAGTTCAGATTCATTGATCCCATAGGATTAGAATAATTAGATCCAGAGATGATCCATGTCCTTATTGGAATAGGACTGCTTTGTGTTGGCCACAAATCTCTTCCTACTCTCAGATTCATGGGGCATCTTGATTTATCAATAAAGTTAGGAGCCTGTCAGCAAATTAAATTTTAGGAAATCGGAAGATAATAATTTTTCAAAATTCAGTGGTCGAAATTGACCAAATTATTACTACGTCATCGGCATTTAATTGATATAATCGTAGTACTTAATTAATATATTGTTAATATTTAATTTTTATCTGTTAACAATTAAAATTTGAGTTCTTAAGATTTTAGTGAATTTATTTAGATCACATTGTATCACAAGATAGAGGCTTTGTATGATGTTATTTTTTCAAGTACTATAATATTGATTGTGTTTAGTCATATAGTCCATGCTACGGCTAGTTTCATTCTAAATTTTTCATAATTTTCATGGATCTATTCAATTGTAAGTTTAGCTTCCCAGTAGACGTACATTTGCTAGAATTTCTCCTACACTAAGCTCCATATATTACATTAAGCAAAAACAGGCCTAGTTTTGCCAACAATCTAATAGACAAATGCTGACTCAACCATTCTTCAATAAAAACAAATACACATGTTATAATTTAAGTGAAATAGTAAATACAAAATAGCGGTGCTGAAATTTCTCTCAAGTTGGCTAGTACCATGTCTGGTGTCATATTCCAACCAATCTTGTTGGGTCATCTCTAATGGAGAGGGTTTAAGGTTCAAAAGCCAAAAAAATGGCATGATTTGCCCTAAAATTTATATCCAACAGAAGGCTTGGCTATAATTATAAAGAGCCCACCAGACATTATTTGGCTAAATGGGCATCAGGCTGGCTAAATGTAACCCATTTGAAAACATCCAAATGTAGTTTAATTAAATTAACTAATAAATTTAAAATATAAAGTTAATACTAATAAATTATTGAGTGGCTATGCTTAGCCTCTTTCAGTTGGAGATGGTAATGAGTATGGACTGTATATTTGGCTCTCTCAGTTGCAGATGGCCTTAAGTGTGACATCCCACATCGCCCAGGGGAGTGATCCTTAAATGTATATTCCCATCCCTACCTAGCACGAGGCCTTTTGGGAGCTCACTGGCTTCGGGTTCCGTAGGAACTCCGAAGTTAAGCGAGAAGGAGGTCAGAGCACTCCCATGATGGGTGACCCACTGGGAAGTTGCTCGTGAGTTCCCAGAAACAAAACCGTGAGGGCGTAGTCGGGGCCCAAAGCGGACAATATCGTGCTACGGTGGTGGATTGGGCCCGAGAAGTGATCCGCCCCGGGCTGGGATGTGACAATTGGTATCAAAGCCTAACCCTGGCCGTGGTGTGCCGACGAGGACGTCGGGCCCCTAAGGAGGGTAGATTGTGACATCCCACATCGCCCAGGGGAGTGATCCTTAAATGTATATTCTCATCCCTACCTAGCACGAGGTCTTTTGGGAGCTCACTGGCTTTGGGTTCCGTAGGAACTCCGAAGTTAAGCGAGAAGGAGGTCAGAGCACTCCCATGATGGGTGACCCACTGGGAAGTTGCTCGTGAGTTCTCAGAAACAAAACCGTGAGGGCGTAGTCGGGGCCCAAAGCGGACAATATCGTGCGACGGTGGTGGATTGGGCCCGGGAAGTGGTCCGCCCCGGGCCGGGATGTGACAATTTATTGTAACATCCTACATCGCCCAGGGGAGCGATCCTTAAATGTATATTCCCATCCCTACCTAGCACGAGGCCTTTTGGGAGCTCACTGGCTTCGGGTTCTATAGGAACTCCGAAGTTAAGCGAGAAGGGGGCTAGAGCACTCCCATGATGGGTGACCCACTGGGAAGTTGCTCGTGAGTTCCCAAAAACAAAACCATGAGGGCATGGTCGGGGCCCAAAGCGGACAATATCGTGTTACGGTGGTGGAGCGGGCCCGGGAAGTGGTCCACCCCGGGTCGGGATGTGACATTAAGGACATGAATTTTTACGCAAAATATGAGAGATATATTTGATTTCAAAACTCCACCCTTCTTCTGAAAGCGGACAATATCGTGCTACGGTGGTGGAGCGGGCCCGGGAAGTGGTCCACCCCGGGCCGGGATGTGACATTAAGGACATGAATTTTTACGCAAAATATGAGAGATATATTTGATTTCAAAACTCCACCCTTCTTCTGTACAATGCAGAGAGAAGATTGAAACAAGCTCCACCCTTTTAGTGTGGTTGAATTTTTTTACTTTAAAATTAAATTACATTCTTTTAAAAAGTGAGAATTTTCTTTGCTTCTGCAACGAAAAAGAACACATGTACGTGCTGCCTTCTTTTTGTAATGTTATTGCTACACTTTTCCTTTGCGTATGACGAAATATGACCACCAGAATGAACATGTATCATCATACGCTTGAAGAGCGGTATTAGTTTTCATGGAATCCGTTCTTATAGACAACAATGGTATCGTAGAAGAATTGACAAACACCATCGAAGCAAAGCTTCTCAATGATTCGCCATTGCCAGCATCCTGCTGCATCTTCAGAGTTCCCAACAAGATTCGGCGAAAAAAAGTACAAGCATACGAACCTGACATCGTCTCAATCGGACCCTTTCACAGTGGCCGCCGTGGCAATCAATTCCAACTCATGGAAAATGTGAAGCGCTGGTACTTACAGTGCCTTCTCTCACACGCAAACATAACGTTGGCAAGCTTGATCAAAGGTGTGGTGGATTTTGACAAGTGCCCTCGCAATTGTTACGCAGAGCCATTCGATCATCTCAACGAGAAAGACTTCGTTGAGATGATGGTACTCGACGGATGCTTCCTAATCGAACTATTTCGAAAAAGATTTTCAGTCGATCAACGAGACGAGAACGACCCCGTCTTCAATGTGTCCTGCATGCTGGAATATCTTTACCATGACGTTCTCCTGCTAGAAAATCAGCTGCCATGGTTTGTTCTCGAGCGGTTATACAATTTAACCGCCGTGAAGAATACTACTTGCGAAGGAGATGCCCCTTCCCTCACCGACCTTGTCCTCACCTTCTGCAGACAATCCGTCACGGACGATCGTATTTTCAACTCCAGTATGAATCTCCCTTCCAAAATCCTGAACATACTCGATCTCATAAGAAGCGTGATCGTTGCCCCGTTTGAAGATTTAGGCTCCCAAAAAAAGGAAGAGGATGAGCAGAGGGTGCCAAACGTGACAAGTCCGAAGCCGGCATTAAATTTCGAAAAAGTTCCAAAACCCCGGTTTGCATAATGAACATGAAGTTCGAAAACGGGGTGTTCACTATTCCACCACTTGCAATCGACGAGCGGACAGGGCCGCTCTTCAGGAACCTCATTGCCTTCGAGCAATGCTACCACGGCCACCTCCACAAGATAACGTCTTATGCTGTCCTGATGGATAATCTCATCGATTCGAGCAAGGACATCGACCTTCTCTGCGAGAGGGGAATACTGGTGAACTGGTTGAGCTCGGAAGACGCCGCACAGTTCTTCAACGAGCTGTACAATGACACGACGGTCAACGAATTCTACTACGGGAGACTCTGCTATATGTGAATCAGTATTACAACACTGACTGGAACAGGTGGAGGGAAAAGCTGAGGCGCGAGCATTTCGGTACGCCGTGGGGGATTATTTCTTTGGTTGCGGCGTTTGTTCTGCTGGTTCTCACAATGTTGCAGACAGTATATACAATTCATCAGTATTATCATCCATCCTCCTGAGTAGTTATATTAAGTTGGATGTAAGTTAACAGAAATATTCGGTTTGTTATTGTCTTGATTTTCTTTCGTTGCCAACGCTTAAGGCTTGGACAGACATGTAATGGGTTTTTGTGTGAGTGTTAGAAACTTGTGAGAGCTACAAGTTTCGTCATTTGAAGTTTTTTTTGACAACCCTTTAGAAGAGTTTACGTGCGACGGCTAGATCACTTGTCTTGTCCACTAAATAAGATGTTGTCACGTTGTTATATCTTGTATTAGTTGTTGGAAGTTTTGTTGGCTATGATTGTTATCATGGTTAAGGTTAGGCTTTATGTCCCCCTTAACAGGTTGTATTTTCCATTTCTTTTTAATAAAACTACCTTGTTGTCACTTCCCGTGATGGTAATGCATGCTGGAGTGGGATTGATTTTGTGATTTTATTGGGAAAAAAAAATGTTGTCACATTGTCATTTACCTTCTACCTAAACTTTTATAGACAAATCGAGAACTATGTAATCGAAGTAGGGGAGGCTATATGACCTTCCTAATTGGACCTACTCATTTTGGCTCATTTATCTTCCTTCAATGCTGCTCTATTATCAGAATGTCTATTTTCGATTCACCCTATAAAGATTAAACATGCTAAAAATCAACTAAATTAGAAATTGTGCAACATTGTGGTTGAGAAGAAAAGTCGAGAATGTTCAAACTTCAAATTAGATTTGAACATAAAAAGTTGATAGTAGATCTCATCGGGGTATCAAGGGTGCCAATAGTATAAATAACATGTGAATAGTTGATAACACATCGATATGTTTGTTGGTGTTAAATAATTAATAATGTATCGATGTTTATATGTTTGTAGGTATTAAATAACCAGACTGATCACGAGCTTAGGTAAGTTTTTCTAGGTGAGCCTTCAAAGGAGAAAATAAAAACAAGTTGTTCCAATTGTATCAAATATTTAGGGCACTAGTGGATACAGAAAACCGTTTTAGAAACCTGAATAGAATCGCCACCAACCGAAAGAGCCTGAATATAAATTCGAGGACGAAGCTGCTTGCTACTTTCGTTTATTTCTATCTGGTGGTTGAGACGGTTTTGACGGTTGGCGCCAAACAGTTGGCCCATCCAAAAAATCTGTTGCTTCGAGAAAGCTTAAATTAGAGTAGGGTAATGCAAAAAAACAAAATTTGCAAATCAAATGTTATGTTATCAATAGAAAATAAGCATGCTTATCAAATGTTATGTTATCAATAGAAAATGAGCATGCTTATCAATGCTTAATTAATAATTCAATCATCAACTTCTATGTCATTTAGTTTAATTTTGTCTACAAATTAATCTCTCTAGCTTTACTCAAATCGAATTTGTGTAGAAAAACTCAACAACTTCTTTGTTTTCAGAGTTTGTTTTAGGGTAATGCTAGGAAAACTAAATGTGTAGATTGAATTTTGTAAACTAAATGAAATGAAAGTTGATGATTGAATCATTACTTAAGTACTGATTATCGTGTTTATTTCTTATTAGTGACACATCATTTAGTCTACTTTAGTATACCTAGCATTACTCGTTGTTTTAATTTGGCCGGTTTTCCGAGATTTCTTTTATAAACATAAAAGTGTTAGAATAATAGGATTAATTTTAGTTAAAAGACTGGAAATGCTTCATGTCATCAATTTAATTATGTGACAAATATTTATTAAATAATAAATGATACGATTCAGAACGAGGATATTTGAGGTAAGTAGGAGTGACTACAATTGAAGATAAGATGAGAGAAAATCAATTAAGGTGGTTTGAATAAGTGAACAGAAGATCTACAGATACTCCGGTTAGAAAATGCGACTATGAGATAAAGGCTTAGGGTAAAAGGAGTAGAGAAAGACCTAGGAAAACTTGGAACGAGACTTTAAAAAAAGATATGGAGTATTTGGAGATAACGAAAGATATAACGCAACTCTATTTAGTCTTTGATTATTGCGTGGGCGCGGATCACGTGTATCATGTGCTAAAGTTATCGTGCAACAATCTACGTGTCAGAATCTAACGAGATGATTGTGATATTGAGAGTTGTAGGAAATGCATCCCAGAGCGGGGGAGACACGTGTCAAATACTTGTGACGAAAGGACTCCACAGATGGTTGAGGGTTGTTCTCTGGGTGCCATGTGGGTGATAGACTATGGTTAATGCTTTCCGTTGGGGAGGCAGATTCTCTGCCCTCCCACTTCCCGTGCCCTCCTGTTTTGTGTGGTCACGGTTAAACTACGTCAACATTTTATAGTTTTTTTATAGAGATAATAAGACAAAAAGGAATAGTAATATAAAATGTTGACGTGACTTAACCTTGACCACACAAATATGAGGGCACAGAAAGTGGGAGGGCAGAGAATCTGCCTCCTTCCCTTGGACTTAAAGAATGAGAATTGTTCTTTGCTTCTACAATGAAAAAATATATTTTCTGCTAAAGACAAAACTTTTTGCTCAAAATTTGAAAATAATATTTGATTTCAAAACTCCACCCTTTCTCTTTACGATACCAGAAAAGGTCGAAACAAACTCCACACTTATGTACCATGCCAGAAAAGATTGAAACAAACTTCACATTTTTAAGTGTGGTTGAATTTTTGCCTTAAAATTAAAATATATTCTTAAAGGGTGAGAATTGTTTTTTTTTTTTTTTTTTTGCTCTTGCAACAAAAAAATTGTGTTCTTTGTTAAAGACATAATTTTTTTGCAGGAAATGTGAAAGATATATTTGATTTCAAAACTCCCTTCTTTTGTACGATGTAAAAAAGATTGAAACAAACTCCACCCTTTGAGTGTGGTTGGATTTTTTGCTTTAAAACTAAATTACATTATTAAACAGTGAGAATTGTTCATTGCTCCTGCAACGAAAAAAATTATGTTCTTTATTAAAATATATGTTTTTTTGTGTGAAATGTGGAAGATATATTTGATTTCAAAACTCTACCTTTCTTTTCTACGATGTAAAAAAATATTGAAACAAACTCCACCCTTTTAGTGTGGTTGAATTTTTGCTTTAAAATTAAATTACATTCTAAAGACTGAGCATTATTCTTTGCTCCTACAATGAAAAATTTGTGTTCTTTGTTAAAGATATAATTTTTTGTGCGAGATGTGAAAGATATATTTGATTGCAAAATCCACCTTCTTCTGTACGATGCCATCAAAGATTGAAACAAACTCCACCCTTTTAGTGTGGTTGAATTTTTGCTCTAAAGTTAAATTACATTCTTAAAGAGTGAGAATTGTTCTCCTACAATGGAAAATATGTTCTTTGTTAAAGACATAATTTTTTTGGTGAAATGTGAAAGATATATTTGATTTTAAAAGTTCACCTATCTTTTAGTACAATGCTCGAAACAATTGAAACAAACTTCATCCTTTTAGTGTGGTTGAATTTCTACTTTCAAATTAAATTACATTCTTAAAGAGTGAGAATCATTCTTTGCTCCTGCAACAAAAAAATTATATTCTTTGTTAAAGACTTTTTTTTTTTTGTGTGAAATGTGAGATATATTAGATTTCAAAACTCCACCATTCTTCTGTAGGATGCCATAAAAGATTGAAACAAACTCCACCCTTTTAGTGTGGTTGAGTTTTTGCTCTAAAATTAAATTACATTCTTAAAGAGTGAAAATTGTTCTTTGCTCCTGAGGCGAAAAAATTATGCTCTTTATTAAAGACATAATTTTTTGGGTGAAATGTGAAATATATATTTGATTTCACTCTTCTTTTGTACGATGCTACAAAAGATTGAAACAAACTCCACCTTTTAGTGTGGTTGAATTTTTGCTTTAAAATTAAATTACATTCTAAAAGAGTGAGAATTGTTCTTTGCTCCTGCAACGAAAAAATTATGTTCTTTAACAAAGGACATAATTTTTGTGGTGAAGTGTGAAAGATTTATTTGATTTCAAAAGTCCACCCTTCTTCTGTATGATGCCAGAAAAGATTGAAACAAACTCCACCCTTTTAGTCTGGTTGAATTTCTGCTTTAAAATTAAATTACATTCTTAAACAGAGAGAATTGTTCTTTGCTCTTGCAACAAAAAAAAAAATTATGTTCTTTGTTAAAGACAATTTTTTGTGAAATGTAAACGATATATTTGATTTCAAAATTTCACCCATCTTCTGTACAATGCTAGAAAAGATTTAAACAAACTCCACCCTTTAGTGTGGTTGAATTTTTTGCTTTAAAGTTAAATTACATTCTTAAAGAGTGATAAGTGATTTTTGCTTCTGCAACGAAAAAATTATGTTCTTTGTTAAAGACATTTTTTTTTTTGGTGAAATGTGAAAGATATATTTGTATTCAAAACTCTACCATTCTTCTGTACGATGCTAGAAAAGATGAAACAAACTCCACTCTTTTAGTGTGGTTGAATTTTTGCTTTAAAATTAAATTACATTCCTAAAGAGTGAGAATTGTTCTTTGCTTCTGCAACGAAAAAATTATGTTCTTTTTTAACAATTTTGGAGGTGTTAAAGATGCGTATTAAGGCTTCCCTTATGGGCAAGAAACCTAATACTCTCACTTATACATATAAGGCTTAGGTCTCCATTCTCATACATAATATTCTAGCACAAAACCTACCTCATAGAGGAGTGCATAAGGCGTTTAGAGAGAGAAAGATCTTTGCTTATTTAATTGCTGCTCGTGGTTGAATCTTGTTCATATCAATGGCTTCTCAATGTTAGTATTTTTAGTGTGTGTATTATAGAAGACTTACACTTTGATCTGCTGAATCCTCTTCAAATTAACGTCCTACGTAATTGCATTTGTTTGATTTTCTGGTGCACGGTTCCCATCCCATTTTATTCCGTAGTTTTGCATTCATGTCAAATTGTGATTATCAGGAATATAAGATTGCCTACTCCTAAGTGAGTGCGCTAAGTATTATCCTTTTTAAAAATTACTTCAGAATTTGTTTCGTTGCAATTAATTTGATTCAGAATTTTTTTAAATATCTACAGTCATGAAAAATGAGAGAGAAATTAGCGAAGTTGATGACAGTACTGACAAGACATCCGTTCCTATAAATGGTATTGTGGGAGAATTGACAACCAACATCGCACTAAAGCTACTCCATGTTTCGCCATTGCCAGCATCCTGCTGCATCTTCAGAGTTCCCCTCCAGATTCGGCGAAAAAACGCACAAGCATACAAACCTTACGTCATCTCAATCGGACCCTTTCACCGTGGCGGTGGTGGCGATCAATTCCAACTCTTGGAAAATGTGAAGCGCTGGTACTTACAGTGCCTTCTTTCACACGCAAAAACAACTTTGCCAGGCTTGATCGAAGGTGTCGCGGATTTGGAAAAGCACGCTCGTGATTGTTACGCAGAGCCATTGGGTCTCAACAAGGAAGACTTTGTTGAGATGATGGTACTCGACGGATGCTTCCTAATCGAACTATTTCGAAAAGGACCTTCCCACGATCTACCAGACGAGAAGGACCCCGTTCACTGTATGTCCGGCATTCGGCTATATCTTTACCATGACCTTCTCCTGCTAGAAAATCAGCTGCCATGGTTTGTTCTCGAGCGGTTATACAATTTAACCGCCGTGAAGAGTACTACTAGCGAAGGAAATGCCTCCTCCCTCGCCGACCTTGTCCTCAAGTTCTTCACAGAATACGTCGGGGACAATCTCATTTTAAACCCGAGTGTGGATCTCCGTCCTGAAATCCTGCACATACTCGGTCTCATAAGAACCTCAGTCATTGGCACTTTTAAACACGAGAGCACGGGGAATAAGATGCCGAAGGTTCCAAACGTGACAACTCTGTCCGAAGCTGGCATTAAATTCAAAGAAGGTCCTCGGGGTGACATGTTGAAAATGAAGTTCGAAAAAGGGGAGTTCACCATGCCACAACTAGTAATCGATGAGCGGACAGGGCCGCTCCTCAGGAACCTCATCGCCTTCGAGCAATGCTACCCAACTGCCTCCACACGATAACGAGTTACGCCGTCCTGATGGATAATCTCATCAATTCGAGCAAGGACATCGACCTTCTTTGCGAGAGGAAAATACTGGTGAATTGGTTGAGCTCGGAAGACGCTGCGCAGTTCTTCAACGAACTGTACAACGAGACGACGGTCATGGGATCCTGCTACGGGAAACTCTGCGAGGATGTGAATAAGCATTACAACACTAACTGGAACAAGTGGATGGAAAAGCTGAGGCGCGAGCATTTTAATTCGCCGTGGGCGATTATTTCTTTGGTTGCGGCGTTTATTCTGCTGGTTCTCACAGTGTTGCAGACATATTATACAATTCATCCGTATTATTATCCTCCTAAGTAGTTATATTAATTTGGATGTAAGTTAACAGAATTATTTGGTTTATTTGTCTTGATTCTGTTTCGTTGCCAACGCTTAGGGCTTGGACATGAAATGGGATTCTGTGTGCGTGTTTGTTGACCCTAGAAATTACAAAGCCTACGTGGCGCGCATGCCGAGTATATTCTAAGCTAACTACGTCCTTCGGTGATTGCGGGGCGTGCCAACTCGTCGGCCGAGGCTCGGCCGAGGAGTAAATTTGATGATGTTGCGTTGGGTCGCGCTACTGACTTCTGCGTCTTGCGATTGCGGCCGAGAAAGGAACACGTCTCGGCCTCTTGGGTTCTCGAGCCTGAAGACAAGGCTGCTACTCTTACAAAGTTCACGAACCGAATTCGGCTTTCAATGTGCCGAATGTAATAACTGTAACACCTCACTTCGCCGAGAAGGCTAATGAGATGACCTCGACCAATAAGGATTCGAAAACCCTTCTCGACCAAGACTTGGATAGGTAATTGACCGTTCTCTCGCCGCAGTGCTGTTGATGCCAACGGAAGATACTGCGAGACCGACCAATTCTACGGTGACAGAGCTATCTATGCCGACTTAAGATATCACCGGTTGCTTCCACAGTGCTGTTGATGCCAACGGAAGATGTGTCAGCGAAAAAGGAAAAGAAAAAGATCTCAAGTTGTGAGAGTTTGCGCAGGGCAATTTTGTGTTGATTTTGTGGGGCTTTTCCTGATGCACAGCTTCCGCTATTTATAGCACTGGACCCCGAATCTGAGATAGAATCCTATTCGGACTAGGTTTTCCCTCTCCGGATCAATATCACCTCGACCAGTCCTGTTTTTATTAGGATTGTGAACCTAGTCCTTATTCGAGCCCTATCCGCTTCTAGGTTGTTAATCCTGCCGAGAATCCCTATTGTATCAGGACTCGGCTTGTCATTGCATTTTGACCTAACCGGCCTAGGTTTGGAAGCCCATAAGCTGAACGATCCATGGTCTTCTTGTCGCAAGGCCTTCCGGGCCGAGAATGGTTCTACACTCGGCCCAAACTATTATTTTGGGCCCAAACATTGCCCCCTCGCTTCTGAGGTCCTCGGCCTGCAATCTTCGGCCGAGTTCCGGCCTTGAAGAAGCGAATCTACCACTCAGAATCCTCATACCCGAGTTCCAAGGCGCATTTATTGAGCACGATCGCACGATCTTGATCCTGCTAACCTACTCACCAAGTGGCGTCCTCTAATATGGCTAATCCCACATAATGACGTCTAAGGCGTGCGGCAGCCTGAACTGTCTTGCCTATCATGACCACTATCTCAATCCGCGAGCCACTACCTCAGTCCGTGAGCCCATTTGTCATCGTGCGGTCGTCGAACCGTCTTTTCGTCATTAATTTAGCCGTCACACGCAATCGTGCGCCCCCAAAACCCTAAAACCTTCGGTCTTCTCAACCGCATTTCCCAAATGTTCATCATGATCAACAATTCCTTTGGTCGATTTTGCCCTTTGTTTTGAATTTCGAACGATTGCTCTTCCCCCCACAACTCTATAAATACCGAAATTTCCTCATTTGTACTTTTACGCTCTCAAACTTCCCAAAATTCTCTGCCATTGATTTCTAGTGCCTCTCCTATTCCGAGTCTTCGTCTTTAAATCCCCAACCCAGAAAAACCCTTTTACTCCGTGCTTCTTTTTCATAATGGCATCCTTCATCTCCAAGCTTTCCAGGGAATGTGACCAACATCCGAAGATCCTTGATCGGAGCTCGATCAAGACCATCCGGTTTGAAAAACGACATGAACACCCAGTACCAAATCCTGGGTCCTCTCTTCAAGGCTACAATACCGCCGACTATCATCGGCCTTCTACAGGAGCACTGCCTAAAACCCTTGCTTCGAGGGTTTGAATGGTCGCGATGGGATGCGGCTAAACCCCAGGGCTCCTGGCCCTCGACGACCACATCCTGGGCAGCCTGGGTCGTTCGAATGGAACGACTCTTCGGCGAGCAATGGAAGGCCCTTGGCATCTACGACGCCATCCTCCTTTCGTCCATGGAAATCGTCCCCGACAAGGAACTTCTCCAAGCCGCTCTGTGCTTCTGGTGTTCGGCTACCAACACAATGGTCCTTCCTCTGGGTCCCATGGGTCCCACCGTCCTGGATATTACTGCCATTCTGGGGACTTCGGCGACCGGGATCCCTGTCGACGCGACCCTCTCTGGGCATCCCGTCGAATATCGACCTGAAAACGCTCTTCGACCCGTCGGGCCTTCGAGACCTTGAGCCGTGACGGTCATATCCCGTCGAAGGAAGATATTCAGAAGCTCCACAAGAACTTCTGTAATTACAACACCCTCTATCTTCACTTCGCCGGCCGAGGAGAAGAGGACCTGCGAGAGGGAGAGCATGAAGCTTTCCTCTTCTACTGGTACAACAAATACATTTGTTGTACCAAGTCAAACAAGTGTTTGGTCGAGAACATGCCGGTAGCCGAAGCCCTGGCCAGTGGTCACGTCTTTGGCGCTGAGTTCCAACATTCTCGCCCAACTTTTCCGCTGCCTGGCCGAGACGACCCTCCAAAAGGTCGACCCGCACCAGAATGGTCATCTCTGGGTCTTCCAACTCTGGTTGCAGGTATACTTCACCTCCCTTCGGCCGGCCATAGCCGAATTCTCACCAACAGAGGCGCTTGGGTCTCAATTGGCCTCTCGTCCGACACCTCCCCATCAAGCCGAAGAGGTATTTCGGTACCTCTTCGCCCTCGACGACTTCTCCAACGACGAGTTCCTAATATGTCGTCGTCGAGACTATCCTTCCTCCATCAGGCTGCCTATCTCCTCATGGAGCGCGGAGGAGGACGCCGATCTCCGTCAGACCTGGGGGTCGTTTGTGCTTGCCCGCGACCTCCCTCTCGGCTGCGATGGGAAACGGTCAGGATGGGAAGTATATCATCCGAACTTCCTCGCCCGACAGCTCGGCTACCTTCAGGGCTGCCCTATCCCCCTTCTCTTCTCCCGAACGGTCCTAAGCCGTGGACGCGAACCTCGTTCCTCTGAGAAGGAATGTAGAATCGCCGTGAAGGAGTTCCAAGAGCGCTGCCAAAAATTCCGCCTTCGACCAGCCACCCCGGAAACCCAATGCACCGACACCTTTGGTGAGTGGTGGGAGCAATACACCCAGGAATTCTTTGGTGCGCCGGTCGAAGACGTGCTTAGCAGACTCTTTGGTGACCGGCCTAAGAAGGCCTCGGCCCCTCATCCTCAAGGTACCGGTTTCATTTTCTTCCTTTCCATCAACCTTGCATATTGAGTTGCCTTACTGAGTTGTCTTTATCTTTTTAGGTAGTCGGCCTTTGAGAAAGACGGAGGCAGTTGCCGCTGCCCACGACCGGGAAAAAATCGGTCGTGGCCCAAAAGGACAAACCCGCTGGTAGGGCCGTGCTGATCAAACGGCCTCGCCAAGAGGCCGAGCCGGCTGTCGAGCCTTCCCCGCCAGCCAAGCGGGTCAAACAAATGGCGAAGAAGGGTGCCCGGGAGATCCACGTTATCTCCAGTCACACGACGACTCCCAGTGCTTCTTCTCCCGCCGCCGGCCATTCTGGGGTCGAGACACAGCCGGCCTCGGCCGCAGAGACGGCCCCAGCGCGGCCTGCCTCTGTGGCCGGCGCATCAGTTGTACCTCCCTCTGCCGAGAAGGCACCTGTCTCTCAACAGGCGGTTTCTACGACCGAGGGAACTTCTCCCAAGAATCCAAAGCCCTCGGTCCTTGTGTTGGACGAAAGCGAGGGGAGCGACGAGGTCCCGCTGGCGCACCGTCCTCATACTCGTCGACAACCTCCTCCAATACCCGAGATGGCGGTTCAAACCGGCCCCTCCCCGGTTAATCGTGGCAAGCGCACGGTCGAGGAACCGATCCCGGTGGCCGAACCTCTCGTTCCTTCTCAAGACCAGGGCGTCCCTGCCTCCTCTGAAGCAGCTGCGCCAGTCGGCCCATCGGCAGCCGACCGGGGCAAACGGCTGCTCGAGGAACCCGAGGCTACGGCGGAATCGCCGGTCCATCCCCAAGACCAAGGCTTCCATATTCCTCCACAGGAGGTTACCTCGGCCTGTGTAAGTACCTTCACTCGTCTCCTCCTGATTACTTTTCCGCGCTTTAGACCTCTAAACAAAGAAAATACCAAAATGTCAGGTGCCTATACATTCTTTTCACCGTCAATTCTATGCGCCGAAGGGCGTTATCTATATTTCCTGGCCGCCTCAGTGGCCATCAAACGTAGATAACCTCCATCGGCCGCGTGAAGTGAGAAGCAATCTGAGACACTGGGCTCGGCCATTGAGTTCTTTTAGGTTCGAGCAACGATCCTGGGGACATGGCCGAGGTCTCCTCTCGGCAGGTTAAAACACGACACCTTCTTGCTATTCTTGTCATGACTTCCTTTAAACTTAACCTTGTTTATTTGTGCAGGCTTCATGGGAGGTTGAATTCAAAGCCCTCCTCTCCAGCACGACTGCAGAGTCCGGCCCTTCGGCCGCTTCGACTGATGCTGCCGATCCAAGTGCCCTAACCCAGTTGCGAGAAGTCCTAGCGCTCTCATCATCGCAAGTTCTTGAGCGCAACGGTCTCGATTTGCTCGGCGTGTGTCTGAACGACCTTGGAGCCGATGGTCGCCTGAGCGGAGATGCCATTGTCCGGGCATCGTCTGCCTTGGAGCGCGTTCGGGAGACATTTAGTATCTTCCAGACTGCTCTGAAGGCCGAACAGGACCTGCAAGCCGCCATGGCC